GATCTGTCATTTCTGGATTTCATGCAAGTATCCCTATATCATCGAAGACATAGGAGTCCTTTTCATCTACTCTTCAGTTTCTAACCTGTGCGCTATGGCCCTCGATCGTTATATCGCCATCGTCAAGCCTCTTCAGTATATTTCGCTAATGACCTCTCATCGTGCTTCAGTGGCGATAGCCACCGCATGGCTGTTCCCGATATCAGCTTATTTTATTCCGTCTCTTTGCGCCAGCTTAAACTTATTCGGTCTAAACCTTAAAGTTAGCGTCGTCGTCTGGACTACCATGTTTGAGTTTATTCCATGCACCTTATTACTGGTTGTAACAGTTCAGGCCGTTATTACCTCGAGAAGACACAATCGCCATGATGCACAGCTTACGTCGCAGATACGCTTCAACCAACCTAATATAAAAATCGCACTGCATTCAGCTTCCTCTCTCAAAGTAATGACAGCTGTTGTGGCAATGTTTTTGAGCTGTTACGCGGTGGAAGTCTACAGTTCGTTTTGCCACTTTACGGTGTTTTGTAACATGCGCGAGGGATTATTCAGGGTGGTTCATTTTCTAGTTATCGTGAATTCAGTTGCGAACCCTGTAGCCTATGCTCTTTTTAAACGTGACATCAAAAGTGAGTTTGATAAAATCTTCCGCAGAAAGCGTGCGAAAACCATAACACGCAACTGTGAGCGAACAGGTACAACCAGCGTGTAAAGAAGGTTAAATACACTATTTATATTTCTCATAATCAGATACTAAATTTTTATTAAGGTGAAACTTGTGTATCAAGTAGTGTATCAAGAAGCTGCGTCTGTGTCCAAGTAAGGTAGCTACATATCTTGTTTGATAAACGAATCAGGTTATCTCCTGTATCTCTATTTTAAAATCAGCCTCTGTTTTTGGCGTCGCGTATCAAGGCAAGGTTCTCGTTTGTGTATATTTGAATTCTCCTTGAAAATATATTTCTTGGATCAGGTAGAAATTTAGATATCAGTGTAACAAGGGTTGTATTTATTAATTTATGGAGATTTAGTTTGATGAACTAACAGGTTGCCAGGTTTCTAGTTTGAAGGACGACATGCCGGTGACGTTGGCCGATAATTAGCTTTCAGTTAATTAACTGAAGAGGGAACGAAGGCTATCTTGCTTTCGTCACTCAGTCGATAGACTCTTATTCTTAAATCTCGCTTTTGGGAAGCAAAGTATATCGTCTACGGTAGCTTGCTATGAGAATACTTAGGACTACTGTGTCTAGTAAATCAAAACCAAAAACGCCTAATTCATTCACTGAAGCAAAGACTTTTCGGCGATAACTGAAAGATCTAATTTACGTGCAAGCCCCTTCACTCAACCTGTACCTGTAAGCCAACATGCATTGCCTCGAGCGTGCCATTGTAATAACTTTTTCTTGCACTTTGCTTGAGCAGCACATTTTTCGTGAATAATAATCTTAAGGGCAAAAGAAGCCGATTTTTTTTCGTTCAAGAGAAATAATACACTTCATAGACATGTTATCGCTATAGCTATATGACGTAAGCCGTAACTAAAGCGCTCCACAAAGAGCTTAAAGGAATATTAAGTAAACGTGGTCCGCTTGATCGTATTTAAATGGACATCGCCTGACCCTATTTTCACTTGCGGCAGCTATTCTAGATAGGGATTGTAATAAATCAGTAATTTCATATTATTTGAGCTTAACAGAATTCCATTTGGCGTTTTCGAGGTTGCCCTTGTGAAGGGAGCGTGTGAAAAAAGAACGCGGGAATTAAGCAATTGACCTGAAAGTTTTCTTTCCCATATCCTTGGCGGTTTATAACAATTAAAGTGCTATAAAATTGCAATTACAAGTTCAATGCTTTATTCAGGTTCATTTTACCTGTTCAAAATATTTTAAATATGGCAATAAATTTCACCAGTTTCAAAATTGCTTTAAAACCTGTGTCAGTGATGTACGATGTTGCATGCTGAATTATGCTTTGAGTTGACAATAGCAGATGTCATCTTTGAGAGTAAACGTGACGAGTTTATCAAAAGAACCTTTATTTAGCACCTTATTTGCAAAACGAAAATAAAGTAAGTCCAATCTGGACTGAATTTTGATTGATAAGCTTGAAAATAAAATAAACCAAGGTCAAACATTGGAATAGACCTGAATACAGAATACGCTTTGATATCAGAAATTGACTCTGAAACACTGTAGAAGAATGGGAGAAAACATAGCTTGAAAATAAAAGAAGTCAAATGAGCCAAATGGGAAAAAAAGCCTTTTTGGTTGTTACAAGTCAGAGGTGCTGATCGGTTTATATTGCAATTCGCCGGGGGAGAGTATACATACATATATAGGAATATATAAGAAGGAACTAATATTAATATATAAGTTTTGTGTGGCCGATTTTGTGCCAAGTTGCAACGTGCTTTATATCGCGTGATATGCTGATTCTAGATACAAAAGAGGTGAATTGAATTATTATAGGTATTGACAAAGCAGGAGCGAAGTTCACTCTCATGTTTGCATTTCAAGAGATTAGCTGTCAAACCTTAGCCGTATTATTATAATTACACTTTCTACTTCGTCTTCTTTGTTTGTTTCTTTTTCTATATTTTTCAAGATCCCGTAGTTTAGACTGGATGGTTGGCTAATAGTGTAGGCGGCTTATTTTCAGTCATATACTCTCCCCGCGCGCGATATCCTGATTTTTTGGTGAAATCGAATTTCATGCTTATTCGGTAAAATGACATTAAAACAGAATAGACAGCTTCTTTGTAGTATGAAAAGACTTGTGCGCTCGAGAAGACTCCGGCGGTATATTTGTAGAACGATTCAAGGTACTGACATTAAATCACATGTGAGTTGAATAAAATCATCGACAACATTTTACTTGTAGGAATACAAACTCTGGGATCTTGATTCCAGCCTTTTACGTTTTAATTTGTAAAATTTAGAAACATATATAGAAAGCAATAAAAAGAGTTCCGATCAGAACGTCGACTTAGTTATTATCCTAAAAAATATTAATATGTAAATAAAGTGGAGAAAGTTGTTAATAATACCTTTCCTTTATCCGTGACTAAAAAAACGCTTAATTTTACCATGTTTTCTCTTACAACGAAATAAAAAATAATGATTTATTTTGCACTCCACATTCATTACTTGAGGGGAAAAATGAAGTTTATAATAAGTCGTGCTGACATGAGTTGAGTAAAGTTAATTAATTTTAAGGAAGAATGGTTTGTTTAGATAACGATTCACGTTTAAGGCATATATTGACTTTGCAACACTTCTCGTTGCACGCACGCTTGGCTATTTTGTGAGATCTGATTTGTTTTACATGTAAAAGGATAGACTGCGACCAGTCTCTCTTTTGCTCTAAAATCTTTAAGCGAGGGCGCGCCGAGTTGCCAGAGCGAGAATACGAATTTCTCTTTTTGCTCGTATTCGCGCCCTCGCAACTCGCACGACTTCGCTGCTCAAAGAGGCCAATTCCGAGTTCCCCCGTGCCTCTGCATCAAAACGAGGTTAAGTGCTCATCCTTTGATATGTAAATAATTTTTTTATTGTCATGCAAATAAAACTCATTTTCACAAGAAAGGTTGTGCGCTTAATAGCCTCATTTTGAAAGTGATTGTCTTTGGTACTCGGAAGTGGCCTATTCTCTCGCTTACAGATTTTCGAGCAAAAGAGAGACTGGTTGCAGTCTAGGAAAAGGAGGACGAAAGTACAGAGTCACGAAAAGGCCCTCAGGAAAAGGCCGGCCCTCAGGCCAACAAGTTAAAAAGCACTGAAGAAATGAAAATAGGATCCTGCAACCCAAAAAACAAAAACAAATACTCGGAAGAAAAAAAAAACGCGAAAAACACTGCTGATTTACAGTTAAACAGAATGAATATTAAAATTAATTTATCTGTGAAACAAAATTGAAACATGATAAAGAGAACCAGTCTTTGCAAGAAGAGATGTATAATTCTTGAAATATAATATTTTTGATAGAGATTTATTTAAAGGTTTTATTTTCTCAGTGCTCGAATTGCCAGGGGATGGTATGTGGTAAAAACTACACCCCTCCTGGCAAGACTAGACTAAGAACTGATTAAAGCTAATGAAATTTCTACCGAAAGTATTCCAAGACTAAATAGAGCCAGTTGCACAACGGGTAAATGGATCCCCGCCTTGCTACTCAAGCTTTATTATTTTCATTGTATTATAGAGTTGTAAACACCCACCAAACGGAATGCCCAGCGAGCCACACCCCTGCAAGACCCATGCCAGTGAGGAAACAAACAGCTGTCGTATTGATGTTGATAAGAAATGTCGGGAAGTTAAAAGATTGCCTTAAGCCTGGCTCAAAATAGGCACAATGACGCAGTTTCGGGTTAAAGCCATGCTCTCTTCAATTAACCTGAGAAGGACAAGGAAAAGGATGAAGGTATCGAATTTTACACTAGCCTTCCATACTGGGATGCACTTATGCTTCTTTACGATATGTTGCATGACAAGGCCCAGAACTTAAATTAAGGCTCCTATGCGAAGAAAAACACCAGTCCTGGGCAAAAGCTAGGAAGACCCAGATCGATGAGTTCAAGAGTTTATTTTGACTTTGATGAGGCTTATTTCAAAAGGATTTAGCACATAGATTCAATGTTTCAGAAACAACAGTTTGGACTGTGTTTAATACTTGGGTGCGGTTCATGAGCTGTTTCACCGTGCATTCTTCAGGTTTCTCTCGCGGTAAAATAGCCCCAGGCACATCCTCTGCCTTTGGCTTCACATTTTCATGTCTTTTTTTTTCATCGCCACCTCCCCTTTGGCTGATTGAGCTGTTTTAACCCCGCTACATTTCACTTTACCTTCCGCCATGTTTTTTTCACGTCCCCCCAAAAAACGATCCCTAAACGCGCGCGCGCTTAGTTTGGTCCCAGGCTATCAGTCATATTGCGGACTATTGCGTGGGATTGCGTGGTTGCGCGGCATAGGAAAATTTGTATTTTGCATAAAAATGTGCAAGGTCAGCCCGTTCTTTGGCGCTTATACACTAACAGGAGGGTTTTTGGGCGTTCCTTTGTACATTTTCGTCCATTTTGATCTTCGCATCGATTTAGCGTTTGCCCGTTCTATTGGTATCATGATAGGTAAGGTTTTTGACACCTGGCAGAGGTGACACCTAGCAGAGCAATGGAAGAGCATCACTAACATTGAGACGTCATCTTTCGCGTTCATATCATTTCAAAAGAAATGCTCCGTGGGAAAATTCTAACTGCGTTCTCGGTAAGTTGTTCAAATGTAAATGTTTAGTCATATAAACTTACTGCCAACATCCGGATTAAAAAAATATGACGGCCTAGGCATGAATAAGTTGTTGCTATCATTTAGCTTTTGCAGAATGCCGAATGACTCTGAGTTTACAGAGATCATATATATCCTCATGCATTAATATTTGGGTTTTGAATGAGGCGAGAATTAAGATAGCCTTGCAAGCACGTTTTATGTTGTCCGGAAAAGGTTTGATTTTTATGTCTGGTCGAATATTTTCTTTTAATGAAGGAAATTTCCAGGTTGTACATGTACAAGCGCCCTGTGAATCGATTCGCTCGCCATCATGACTGTTGGAAATTAAGGTGGTTATATTTGATAATAGTTTTTGGAAATGTACCCTTAATACTTTAATTCATGTAAAATATTTAGCTGTTTCTGATCGGCTCTAATCCCTTGGCTAATTCCTCATATCCAGCAGTCGCTTACCGATATTTGGAAGACCAAAGACCGATATTTTATTTAATTCACCGATTCGTCCAGTTGAGCCATAGTTGGTCCTTTTGCATCCGCCGGTATTCGCCCTGTTGTAAACCGGTTAAACCAGGACAGTACGGTGTATTACGGCCTCGTATTTTGCTTGTTCTCTTGACCTTATATGGTAAAATGACATAATAGTGGAATAATAAAATGGGTTATTGCCCTAATTATATAAAATAGCAACCTGGCCCTGGTTGCTCGAAAGATGGTGGATTTAACCATATGATAGTTGGTAACGGTTGGTTAAATTTGCTAACCATGGGTTAACTAACTGTTGGTTAAATTCCCATTGTTTGAAGATCTGTTAGGCTGGCGCTAATCCCTGGTTAGCTAACCAATGGTTAAAGTAAATATCCCAGACTTTATTATAATCCATCTCTGGTTTGACAATTTTTGCCGTGAAAGTTTTTAGGGAGCTGTAGCAACAACGACGGCGACGGTAATTAGAACGTCAAAAAAGCAATACCAAGGGTTAGATTGGCAAAACAACATCTTTGCACGTGCATCACAATTTTTTGGGCATTTCTTTGCGGTCACTGCATGACTATGACATGAAAATGCCTGATTTCATTATGGTTGACGTTAACAAGTGATGACGAACTTTTCTTTCTCTTTCTAAACTTAAGTGTGGTCTCCAAGACATCAACTCTGGGGAAATTCTGCTACAATTGACATTTTCAGCGAATTGGAATAAACAGCTTGAGCTTGAAGCTTTTAAAGTCCCTTCTGTCAATAAAATGACCTGCAGGAAATGAAAACCACATTTTTCAGCGCAAGAAATTGCGATAGTACTGAACAGTACTGAAATCAAAGTTTACTAACACAACCAGTAACAAAATGAAGCATAAAAAACTAATCAACTGCCATGTTGTTTCACTGATTTTGCCACACCTGCCACTTTAACCGATGGTTAACAAGTTAACACTCGTAGCAAGGTACCTTAAATGTAACACATGGTTAGAAGAAATTTAACCCATGGTTATCACTAACCAGAGTTCGAGCAACCGAAACTAAACCTTGGTTAATATTTAACCATCGGTTAAGAGTTGACCATCTTTCGAGCAACTGGGGCCTGGTTTACAGGCAGCAGCATGGCAAGCCACTAGTGGCTCACACAAATTTTAATTTAGAGGAAATACAGGAATATGGGAATATCAAATACATTTACTCTAAATTAAAAACATTACAAGGGTCACACAATTTACGTGGGCCTCCTGTGGGCAGCTTAGCTGTTTAAATGTGTGAGTAAACTCAAACTTAATGTTGAAAGTGGAACAAGCTTGCTTCATGTCAAAAGTTTTCAGTTCTGCTTTTTACAGGCCTTCTGATAGGGTGCGATGAAAAATCAGAAATTGTGTGGCATTTTCAGGGCAAATTGTGTGATAAGATAGGACTATTGTGCGATGGGCAATTCCACGTGAGACAGTGAAAAAATTTTGCACAACGAAACTTAACCAACAGAAAGCTGAAACAATGGGCTGTTTGAAATTACTGAGATCTTGACTGCGTCTTGTCCATGTGTTTAATGTGAGAAGGCATGAAATCCAGAGAATTTGAATCTCATTATATTTGGAATTTTTGGAAGGAAATTTTAAACAAAGTTTTAACATCTAAGAAAACATTACAGTTAACATAAAAGTATGTGTGTATTATAACCTTTGCCTTACACTATCATTAGGCTATAAATTATTATCCAGCTAGTGGCACTTTCCTAAGAAAATTGACATTGAATTTTGTTGCGGACATTAACGTTAAGGTACCTTTTTTCAGTTCCTGTACACAGTGTGCTGTATTTTCATGTGCTATTGATGCTGCTCAGTTAGTCTGATGTAGACTCTATTTTAATCTTGAAACCTTTCCTGGGTGGTGTTTTCTTTGCTCAGAAATTTAAGCGGAAAAGTGTTGTGGACATTACACATGTTAGATTTTTCATTTATTCAGGCTGTTGCAGATATTTAGTTCTTACTATCTCTGAATTAGATTCAGACAACAGCCCACTTAACACTAAACTGCTTTTTATTGATGTACAAATGTAAATGGCAAATTAAAAAGAGCTGGTAGATTTTCCGTGATGTCCAATGAATTTAATTTACGAACTATGAAAAACATTCTAAATAATTTACGATTTCTGTGATATTCTTGAAAACGGGCAAACATAGTGATTTTCGAATTAGTTCCTTCCATAAAGTAGTATAGATGCATGACGAATTTTGCAGTACTTTAACAGAAAAACTGAAAAATAGTTTAAAGAGTTTATATGGTTTTGGGGGACGCTGTCACAAAATTACAGTGACATTTGTATGGATCTTTAACCGTGTTTCAAGAGTCATAACTTGATCCCTCTTCAACTTTAGAGCACCAAACCTGCTCAACCAACCAATCTCAACATGACCTTTTATATGGTGGTGTCAGTTTATCGATTAGTTTAAATTTGAAACTTGCCCCAGTTCCCTATGCAACTCCAAAATGGCCAGTGAGTAGCTGGTCAGGGGTTTTGTACTGCTGAGCATGCTCAGAACAGTTTGAAAGCATGCTTTTTGAGGAAAAGCACTGACCATCATTGTTTCTTCCACAAACTTGAATGGGTATTATTTTTTAACTAGAATTTATGATATAATGTGTAGTGAACAATGTGCAATTTTAGTGCAAATTTACATTTTATCTGTCTTCAAGTCAGACTGAATGACAAAATATGATAATTTCAGTAGCTAAATCAGTTTTGTAAAAAACAAAATAATATCCTCACTACTGAGAATGTTTTTTTTTTCTCACAGCATTTACTTGAGATGTAATAAAATTAATTTGGAAATTATTTTAAGGATTCAGTATAGCAGAAAAAAATCTGACTGGTATTGCATGATACTAGGTCTCAGCAGGAGATTATATAATAATATAATAAAATATAAATAAAGTAAATGATAATTTCACAGCTTCATTTTTAGACAAGTAACTACAGAACAAATGGACATAGCCTCAGTCAGCGACACTGACTAGGAAGTGAATGATAAAAAATGTGTTCCCAAAAATGTAATGTCCGCAACACAAACTTTTGTTTGTAGAATCACTGGAACAAGGTTGCATGAAATTTTTTTCGCCAGTTGAAAAATCTAGTTATTGATACGTTTTGAAGGCACAATTATTTTCTGCTCAAGGTTAAAAATTCACAGGAAAATCTCTTTAGTTACTTTAAAAAGTGGTTGTTTAAACTGTAATGTCTGCAACACACTTTCTTCAACTCATACCTTCAAGGTCTTAAGAGCTAACCAAAGCATCTTTTTATTAGGTACAAAGGGAACACTAAAAATACTGTCTAGAGATGTTTGACCACCCTTAATGAACATTTTGACATCTAAATTGGGGTTTAAAATATTATGCAATTTTTTCAGGGCCAATTTACATTGTTTTACCAGGTTTCAAAGGAGAAAAACCACTTTAATGTTGTTTAACAGGCAATTTGAATGTAAAAGAATAATAAAACATCTATTTTCCAACAAAATAGTTAAATTTGTCCAATTATCTTGACCTGGAAAAGAAAACAATTAGAAAGAAAGAAAAAGGACACTTGTTTAAAATTACATGATGCTGTTACACCACTGACCACACTGCTTGTCTCTTTAATAAAAATGGCTGCCTAGATACTGCGATTGAAGGTTTCAGATGTCTTGCAAGGCTTTCTTTAGTGGTAAATCACCTTAAATAACATTGATATTGGGAATATGTTTAATGAAATTCATTGTTTACTTTACTTCAATTTAGTATTTTTTTTTACAAATTTTGTGATTTTCCTCAAATTGTGTGATCAGATGCGATTTGAGGTTAATTGTGCAAAATCGCACTATCATGTAATATCAGATGGCCTGTTTTTACCATCAAAACCTTGCTCATTCCCAAATACAGTCAACTTCCTTTATGACGGACACTGTTAAAAGGGACCTTGCCTGCGTCTCATTAGGGAGATCAAGTTCGTAATAGCAGGAGTTTATTTCAGTCCAATGTCTATAATTTATTTTTGCCCGGGATTTAGCTGCTGTCCGTATTATTGAGATGCACGTTAGAATGAGGTGTCCACAAGGCAAGAGTTGACTGTATCTTTGAATTCGTGTTACACTGAAGCAAACCCACAAGTAACTTATAGCACTTTCCCTGCCATGTCTTTTTAATGGCAGCCCAGATAAAGCAAAAATATGCTTTGCAATACATGGAATGAAGTAAGGCAATGAAATGATAAAGAAAAAACAAGAAAAAAAGAAGAAAAAATAGTCCTCATGACAGCATATTCACAGCTGGCCAACCATCCAGTTCCTAACCCTGCCAGTGTGAATAAACAACAGGACTTGAAGGTCAATGATCTGGTTACCAGTTCAGATGCTCTACCCCCATAATCTATTTCTCTCCCTCTTTTTTAATGGTTTCAGTTGTGTTTTCTTCGTATGGTGTTGGTTATTGGGAGTCGATGTAAGAACAAGAGTGATATTGAACTTTTTGATCCCACTGACAATTCAAAATTCAAGTGCTGGCCGGTACCTACATGTCAAGAGGGACAGCAACCATCTGTGGAGCCTGGGTCAGTACATCCAAAGACGACAACTATCTCCTGCATACGTTGTGATCATGGTTGGTTTTCCAATCACGACACTAACTATAGATGCCAGAAGTGTGCATCATGTGGTAACAAGGGTATTCTTGTAAACTGCTCGATTTATGGAGATGCTGTTTGCTCAAAGAGTTGCAAATCAAATACACATTATTTTAATGAAAGTGATGGTCAGTGCTATGCTTGTACTGAATGTTGTGGGAAAGACGAGTCAAACATTGCGCGACAGTGTTTATTATCTTCTGGAAATTTGCGTGTTGGTTCAGTGATTGGACAACAGGGAGAACTGCATTGCAAAGTTCAGTCATCTCAAAAATGTGATGAGCTGTCAAAAAATGTTACAACTTATATAAACAGTTCATCTTTTGTCAATGGCACCAGCAGTGTTGTGGAAAACTGTAACTGTACCAGGCCAGAGAATATAAATCACAACTATCAACCCAGTGGTTGTAGTTGGGACTCATCTCTTCAAGACATTATGCTCCTATGTGCTTTAATTGTTGTGGCTTTAGCCTGTGTTATTTTTCTTTGCCTTTATATAAGAGAAAGAAAAATGCGAATGTCAAGGAGTGGTTGTCCTCCAGAGAGCTGTCCCTTCATGAACCGTTGCTACTCAGGTTTGGCAGGTATGTAGTCATAACTATTGTAAGTTGTGTCTGTGCAGGAGTTATTTAATTTTTGCAAGTACCATATTTGGAACAAGAAGAAAAGATAACTGACCAATCAAACTTTGTATATGATCATGTATTATTATAAAGTTTTACTCCATATTCTTGGGAGGGAACCTGAAGGATCTCAAGCACAAATGATAGCGACAGCTACAAAAACATTACTTATAGCCAAATAATATTCGTTGTATCGCACTGCGCGTTTTGCAAACTTTGAAGGAATTTTGGTTGTTTCTGTTCCGTCAATCATCTTAGCGAAACTTTTAGGAAACACATGTTTACTTGTGATTGGTGCATTTCGATCCACTTTGTTTGTTTCTGTGTTTCGAGGTTCGCCACTTGTGATCACCCTGTTTCACACTGTTTCGGGCCTTGATCAACTAGTTTTCGTCGAAACTTTTTATGATCTTTCTTATTCTTGTCTCTTGCAAAAATAAAGCAATGTCTGCCTCCTGCCCTCAACAAAAATTCAACTCATCATTGCGACTTCCTTTGCTATTCTTGAGCAGTTTAGGGTCATTCTCAATTTTGTTTTTGCGGGCCAAGCTGGGCAAATGCATGGCACTGTGATTTGTATTAACTCCACCCCCACTCAAATGATTGATGGAACAGAAAAACCCATTCGAAGTTTGCAAACACGCATGCGATACAATGAATTTGGCTATAAATTAAATAAAAGGTGTTTTCTCCCTTCTTCAAACTTTAACACTCTCATTCTATCTCATGCGATCAGTTTGTCTAAAGACTGTATCAAAGTTCAAGAAAAGAAAGAGAAAGTAGTTGTATTGTGTTTTCACCCTCCACAAAAGGGCACTTTCATGTCACAGTCATTCAGTCACGGCAAAGAAATGTACAAAAAAGCATTACGCACATGCAAAGTTCTTCCGTTGTTAAACCTATTTCTTTTTCGAGGGTGCCACCAGGGTTTTCAATAGAAAAGATGAATGTTTACGAGCACTGAACGTTAGTTACATTTTTCAACCCGTTAAGAGTGTCAGAAAGATGGGGAATTTATTCATTTTAACCCATTTGCCTCCCTGCCCACCACCATAAAAGGGAGGAGATATTACTGACATATATAAAGCTTGCCCTACATCAATACTCTTAGGGGTGCCTTGAAAACCATACCCTGGTGAGCAGCACATACCCATTCTATAGGCCAAAGTGGGAGTGTCCCCCCTGTGGCCTAGTCTAGGGTCAATTTATAGTTTTTAGATGTTAAATAGTGTATATTTTGCCTTATTCAAGGGCCTGATTTTTTCCCAAACTTTTGCTAATTTTTTAAAGGCCAACCTGACAGTGAGACAGCAGCTAATTCATTAATGGGCTTTGAGGAAAAACTCCAGTACATTCCAGAGGGTGAGTGTCAACAGATGCAACAGTGTGGTGTTTTTTTATTGACAAGCATCACCTTAAAATGTAATAACCTAGAAGATTTTTTTAATTAACCTGAAATCAAATTTGACCTGTAACATATTTTTTTATACATGTATCATTGTGATTGGGTTTCCTTTATTTCAGCACTAACCATTGACAGGATACCTCCTCAGATTGAGCAGATCATTCTGAAGTTAGATGGAAGAAAGTTATCTGCGAAAAACTGGTATCCTGTAGCTCGGACGCTTGGACTATCTATGGATGAAACTGACGATATAAGGAGAGAAGAAGGCAGGGAGGGGGGAAGTCCAACTTCGGCGTTACTAAGTCTACTAACTACTTGGGATAGTGTTATTACTTTAAGACAGTTTGTATGTGTACTTCATCAATTAGGGCGACATGACGTTACCAAGCTTATCTTTGACTTTTACAGGAATGGGGTACAGCAACCACTCACCAGCTCTGTTTAACATAGGGCACATGTACATCAACACATCCATTCCTCAAAGTTTCTGTTAAGGTGGCTGAACACAGTTTTGGCAGTTTGTGGGTATATGTCATTTGCCAAATCATGACAAGAGAAAGGTTGTGGCTCACAAACTGAAACTTGGCAAGTAGAAAAAAAAATACTGATGACAGATTTTGATTGGCAAGTAAAATTTGACATTTTCATAGTTTCCATGGCAATATGAATGATTGAATACAACCTTAAAACTTCACTTTTTCTCGGTTTAACATGAAATTTGCTCATTAGATTTTCGTATAAACGTGCACACAGCTTACTATAATAATTAATAATTAACACTTGAAACTTATTAACAGACAGGTTTTCAGATAATCAATAATATAATTGTACTGTAATTATTAAATGTATCACAAAATTCGTCTGTTCAACTTCCATTATAAAGCTCTTATTATTTAAAATAAGATAAAAGTAAAAATTCTGCCAAATATCTCAAAACTCTAATGAGTATATTCTGAGAAATTGTCGTCTGCGTACCATTGCTTTTTCGCCGTCATGTTTTGTCCAATCTAAAACGGGCCATCACGCGAGTTACCGCCGACTGCCTGCAAAACTGTGATCAGCCACCTTAATTAAGCTACATTAAGCTACATTACATTAAGCTACATGGCAGCATTAGCCTACGAAGCCTGGGATGAAGCTCTGTTGTTGGGGAAAAGTGGCTAAATGTAATTTAAGAGAGGTTGAACATGACACAATGCTGGTCAGCGGTCTCCACCACTAATCATAAGTGGGCTGGTCTTGGGCTTAAGCAGGGTTTTAGTAATTTTACAGTTCTTTCTTAGAAGTCAATTATTTTGCTAATGTTGCCTTCGTGTGCAGTAGCTTTACTAAGCTGTTTTTGCCCCCAGCCTCCAGTGCCCTCCCCTTTGGATGTTTTTTTGGTAGGTATCTGCGCATTTCTCCACTGAGGTTCTCATTATGACGGTGCCTAGTGGGTGCCGCTCACAGGGTTGTCATGGTTACCTTCTAGACTCCCCTCGGTTTTACCAGGCACCTTTCTCACACTCATCTATAGTCGATGGGTTTAAAAAAGCAAAAATCAGGGTGAAAAAATATAGCCTAGGACATTTTGTTGGGTTAAATGCACCACAGTTTAAACGCGGTCTGGGATAAAGCCATCCTAGATCATCCATATCTAAGAGTATTGTAAAAAACCCCAATAACTTGAACTCTGAAGGAAAACGGAAAACGGGTTGAGTTAGTGCGGATTCCAGTTATCCGGATCGAATAAATGTTCAATTTGCCTTGTTAATATTTGATAGTTACTGATTTTTCAACACTTCAGTGTACGTGTATAGCACAGTCGTGCAAATTTACTTATTTCGTCAGCTTGATGCAGTTTTACGATGAAACGTGATCTGTTCGTTGTACCAATGGAAACCAAATTGCTTTGAGGTTAGTTTTAGTGCTTTAACCGTGGGGTTCCAGGAACCAGAAATCGAGTTATCGGGATAAATTTCAGTGAAATTTTGATCAAGGGAAAGGAAATTCATTTGGAGTTGGCGGGGAATTTGAGTTATCCGAGTTCGAGTTAACCGAGTAAAAATGACTGAAAAATGGGGTGAAATTCAAGGAAAAAGGACTTAGTTCGAGTTTGGGTTGCGTTCGAGTTATCGAGTATCTACTGTATTTAGCAAATATGTCACTGTATTAGATCTGCTATTAACCCTTCCATTTGAAAAATTTATTTCTCAAATAATAGAGAATTTTCCAAAATAAAAATTACATAGGTCTATCAAGCTAGAGCTGAGCTGTCAGAAGTTTGATATCCGAGTGTGATTTCCTATTTATATCGCAGGCTCAAATTTTCGGAATTTGAGTTCAGATTATGAGTACATTTCAAATAAGCGATTTTTTCAACTTTTGACTTTATAGCAGTTCTAATACCTTAAGGATGGTCGGCACCTGTAAATCCACGCGTGACTAATAGTTACATGTGTGAATCACGTACTGTTCACTCACGTACATGTACGCACATGTATGTAAAACCTAAGAAGCAAATTTAGGGTAACGGTATTTTAAACAAGTTATTTTAGAACATGCCTAACATCCCAAGAAAGCATGTAAGGTTGTGAAATAACGACAAAATCACACTAAAAGTCAAAAACAAAAATAGAGAAAACAATAAAACAAACAAAAAAACTAAAACTAAATAAAAACAAAGCAAAAAGAAAAAAAGAAATAAAACAGCAAAGACTAAAAAAAGCTGGTACTGTACAAAATCATAATTAGGCAGCGGAAGAAAAGGGGAAAAGGCAATCAACATTATTACCCATTGAAAGGAACTAAAAAGAAGGCTCTTATCAGTGCTTTGGGGGTAAGTGTTCCTAATTTGAGCATAAAACGTTATTCCATATTGATGAAGTCTTTGCAATTATTGTGACGTTACATGTAGAAGACAATCCTGGGCCCAGTTGTTCGAAGGCCGATTAGCGCTTAACCTGCGGTTAAATTTTAAATTTTAGATTTTAAATTTTCTTTTTCTTGTGTTTAGAAGAATTTTCTCCGATAATTTTCTCCGTTATTTTCAGAACTTCTAATCATCAACTTGTAGACAAACCTTTCAAGCTTTCAAATCTGAATTCAAATCTCACACGAACCCTGGGTTACCTTAACCCAGCTTTGAACAACTCGGCCCTAATAATAATTTTAAAAAAAACTTTAAAAAAAACATCAAATAAACGAAATCAGCTCTTCACACAAATAACTTTCTAAAGAAATTAATAGCGAACGAAATGTAGTCAGCAATGGAGGTATCGCTTTTCTGTCAAAGTTGTTTGCTTCTTAAGGTTTACACTGATGCTGGTTACATCAGTAGTTACCATGGAGACAAAAAACTCAAGAAGAAGTGAGCATAGAAAAAAAAACCAAAAATGACAGAGAGAAACAAAAGACACTCGTGAGTCAGAAATGAACTGGAGTCCTTTTGCAATGGCAAAGGGTTAAATTTGGTTTGGGTTTGGTTTCACTCTTTCCGGGAAAACAAACTGTTAAGTCATTGCTTTTCTTCCTGAGACCTGTATCACGAGTTATCATATTTTCTCAATTGTTTTGACAACAAACAAAGTTATTAGTAAACGGATTGCCGATAGATAAATAAATAAATAAAAAAGTAGTTAACTGAATAGATAAGTGAATAGTTATGCACTATGTACTGTACTAAGGGAAATTTGATTCAAGCCAAAGGAATCAAAAATCGGTGACCCTCTGCAGCGTAGTTTTCAAATATGCAGTTTGTCGTTAGGTTTAGACTGTTTTGTACCTTGTAAACCTTATCAAATTGTTTGCAAACTTGGGGCGTGTTTACATGGAGGTGAAGAGGGGGGAGGGGGGGGGGACCAGGTAGGTGAGGTAACCCTTTTATGTGGGGTGATCCGCCTGTCCATATAATCATTTTAATTTGATCACGTTGTTACTTCACCTACCCGGGGTCCCTCACCTCCAACAGGCCCTTAGAATGACGCTTAACGTGCCTGAAATAGACTTATCGGCAACGCCTTATGTTGGATGCTCGGAGTTGGTCATGTTATAGACCTCATTTTATAGCAGCTGTGTTATTAACGTCTCGTCCCCAAAAGTCGAAGCTTATCATAACTTGTTTGTGGGGTTCTAATATTTACGTTTTGTAAAATACTTGGTACATTTTTTGTCAACAGTAAATTAATGCTTCATTATTTTCCATTCTTGAGTATCAAAAGTCCCTTAGTTATTATAGGATTATCATTATTATTATTATTCTTACAGTAGAAACCCGCATATAAGAATCAAGTTAGTTAAGAACCTACAGGCTGAAATTTGACTTTTAAATACCCCAAAATATAAAAACCTGTTCAGCCTGACAAAGAAGAACAGGTTCTTCTACAACAAAATCACTCCAATTTTGATGGTCAAAATTCTGGATTTTTATTGTGTGAGAAACGTCTGACAAAAGTTATTGTGTATATGTTTTCTTTGATTTACATTTGTTTGGATTTTCACAAGAAATTTGTTTTCCATAAACCATTCTGTAGTAGTAGTACAATATTTTTGCCACTAGTTACACTACGACAAACTCTGAAAAATAACAACCTAATATATTCTAAGAACCTAATCAGCCTGAATTGTGAAAAACTGCCCCAAAATTTAAGAACCTGTTCAGCCTGACCTCGAAACTTCTAGGTTCTTATATGTGGATTTTTACTGTATTATTGTACAAATAATAATCTATATTATTAGAGAAATAGCGGCGTAGCCTATTTCTCTTTCGTAAACGGTCCGCCGTTGCCATTTTTAGCGTTCGATGCCACTACTGGTGACCAAGCCTTTAGTCATGATAGATGTTATATATTCCCTGGATTAATTTACCATAAAGCAAATAATACGTTCTTGAATAGTCTTAGAAAGAACGACGTTGAAGCCCAGGTTGATTTTACGCTAAAAGTTTTAAAAAGGGCTAGGGTCACCTGTTACCGTGATGTAACAGTGAAGAAAGACAGTTTGCTAGTTTATGTACTTAAATGTTTCAGAATTTTGGAGGTTGGTATGGTGGTTGAGAGGTTAGGGAGCCAGAGATTAGGATACAAAATGTCCTAGTTCGAGGTCCGGGTTCGACCCTGGATTACGATCTTCTTTATTTTAATAGAAACACTCTCCAAAAAATTGGCAGCGACCGTTTACGAAAGGGACAACCGCAGCGTAGATAGTGGTTACAATTGAATAGTACATTCCTATAAATTAGGTCTCTCGTAGACACTTCTTTTTATTGTACGCCTCTTTAGCTTGCCCCACACAATTATTGTATTCAGGGGCCTTGTCGGCCGGGGAACTGACATCTATTTTGTGCCTCCCTTTTTGGATCGCCCAATCTTTACACTAACGGACTTTTTTGTTTTTGTATCAATGGTAGTTTTAATTCTATTTGTGTACTGCACTCTTTTGCTCATTTGCATTTTAGAATAATGACGTCTGCCAATCGGTTCAAACCAATCTGTACTTCCTTTTAATCAATGAATGTACACTTTGTTATATTTTTAACGTAGGTATTTTGCAAGTGTATCTCATATTGGGAGAATCATAGTGTTTGCACCATGTGCTAACTAATATATATATTTTTTTCAATTAGAGTAGATTGTGAATCACGTTCAAGTTGGCAAAGAAATTTTTGTCAGGTTAAGAAATGAGCAGTCATAAACAGCGCAAAAGAATTATGGATTACATGCATGAATAAATATGTATTTGATGAACAGGAAGCAACGATATGATAAGTGAAAACTCGGTCACGTGGTACAAATTGACGCTTGCCGTTTGCATTGGTCGTGATTCTTAATCTTATTCCAGTCCGTATTTTAGTACACGCGGAATCATTTTCTACAAAATAGAATTTCCAAGTAATAGAGGGCGCTCTTATTACCGTGAGGTTGCACTTAGTAATATTTTTATTGGCCTGTTTGTACGCTTTCTTTGTTAGTCAAATAAAGTTATGAGCTTTTAGCGTTTAAAAACAGTTTCAATGAAACGATTGCGCGCGTCTTGTCTTAAACGAAGCTGAATTTAGTAGACACCCCTTACGTCATGCACGCGTATAAATTATTTTAAGTGATTGGTCTGGAAAAGTCGTATGTCCGCTGGGCAGACCTCAAACAAACACCGCAGCCTCAGCCCATGGAACTTTTTGTTTATCCCTGAAATGCTTTGTTTTGTCATTTTGGTAGCTCAAAAAAGTGATTTCAAGGGTGCTGGGCTCGATGTTTGTACCTCTGCTTATACTTGAACGTCAAACGCACACTAGTTAAAAATTCCGTCGCCCTTTTTCAGTTGCGAAAATGACAATACACAGCATTTGTACTGGTCTGTATGTGGGCATTCATAGCAGTACATGACTGTATGTAACGATAATGAGAACCTTTTCGATATTTCCCTACATTTCCTCTAAGAAACTAAAACATACCGACGCGTACGGTCACGCAATCGTGACCCACTCTGCAGAGATCTTGAGTGAAGTAGTCCCAAACAAACCTGCTTGGGGTATCACACTTAGTACCAGAACTGTAGATCAGTGATAATACAAAATAACTTTTTATTGGCCTTTCAAGGCTCTTATCAGCTACTGTAATCATGCAACTACTGACTTCGGAGCACTGAAAATTACAGCATCGATCAAACAGTGTAAACACAGGCGTCCAGTTAAAAACTATTGTACCATAATCATGTGCAGTTCACACGTAATTAATATAAACGTTAATGCAAACGTTTAAATGTTAATAAAGTAATGTTGCGATGCCTTTTAAGGTGTTTCCATACAGTAGTTCTGCGGCCATACCCTTATTTTTCAATCACCTTAAACATAATTTTTTCCTTGTCTGTTCGCCATAAGATTTTCACTACTGACGGACCATGAATTGAAGTTTGTCAAACTAAAATGCAGTTTTTAGTAAAATGGATATCACCATGACAACAATAAACAAAATAAAGTGCCACGACTTAAGCCTAATGCGTAACGAAAATAAACTTGACACTTAAAGCTATACTGGAGAAGCAGGCAGCATTCACCTTGACCGAAAACGTTTTCGTATCGTTTAGTGACTGTAACTGTTGCGATCTGGCAAGCTAAATGGTTAAACTGCTCAGGAGTTGCTGCTTTAATTTTGACATTCTACTGCGTTATTCAGATTCTAATTAATGTTGCAAAAATTAGTATTGCCTAGCCAGCCGCGATCCACGCATTCAGTGAGTGAGTTAAGATTTTAAAGTGCTTGATGAAACATATAAAAACTTAAAATACATATTTTCAGTGAATTGTGCTTCTCTAAGGACTTTGACGTAACCTGCAAGATGAAAGAAGCTTCGACAACTTTCAAGACGCTTAACGAGCTCGGCTTCCGGATTCGTCACCGGCAACCTTCCTTTATCATAGAACCTACAGCACTATGAATGTGAACACAGTTAGAGCGATTTTCGTATGATTTTGAAAAATAGTTTCAATAAGGGTTCGTTATTTGTTTTATCAGCGAACTGATAAAAAGATCGAAACATGGACTCTTCGTTTTCCCGCCAAAGAAAACCCTAATAAGGAGAAGGCATTGTTCGATTGGCCAATTGTGTTGCAGTATGACGTCAAAGTGAAGTATCGATTGATTTCTAGAAAGTTCTCGGGCATGAAGTTTTTTCATCCGAGTGTTTGTATCCGTTCAATAAACCAAACAAATCGCTCTATTTCCGTTTGTTTGTTGTTTCTGTTTTGTTCGCACATTTTCATTTCAAGGTCGAAAATCGCTCTAGCACAGTGGAAGCTCGACATTAGGATATATGTAGAGCTGTGGTACAGACAGCCGCTTATCAAGGACGATTCTATTGGTTTGACTCACATAGCTAGAGAACTTCTCACAACTTCTGCCTATCTTGTATGAATATGTCAGCGTTTTAGGTCTGTTCCCTTCTGAAGAAGGTTAATAAAATGACTGTACCGTACTTAGGAAAGTAGCGTGAATAGGCGCTAGCGTTCGACATATTAAGTGAAAACAATAAAAAAATTAGTTTCATCGACTATTACATCACTAATTGTTCAAGAAGACACTTAAAAAAGTTATAAAAGTACTAGTGCGTTTTCAGCGACTGACACCCAGATCGCTTGAAGGGATCTGGATACGAGATAAGTGTTCAACGTAAGGATTCATTTTAAAAGGAGTCTTCCCTTTCGATCATGTCGTCCTCTTGGATGTAGGCATTTCGTCGACTCATCTGTTCATCTTGGGTAGTGTACAAGTCTCCGACCTTGTTTCTGTTCATTAATCTTCGGGCAAGGCGGTACTTAACGGCTAAAACAGCCAGGGCTATGATAACAATCAGAGCAAATCCTCCAGCGGCTCCTGCACCAATGATCAAAGCAGGTTTTTGGCTTTTTTCGGTATCTGTCCACGGAGAAAAAATTAAATCTTGATGATTAGATAAGTCTTAAAACCGTAAATAATGAAGGAAAAGCTATCATTGAAGGACTTTTTAAGTTAGAATTAAAGCTTGCTCTTGTATTAAGTAAAGCCCATGCCATAATTATAATTCTCTACTAGATCTAAAACGGTTATTTCACATGGGAAAACGTAAAGCTATCAACCTTATTTGCCTTTAGACTCTATCGAACTCCAACAAGTACAATTAGGGAAAAAGATCGTAGTCTTTTATCTTGAAGAAGTCCAGCTATGTGGCCGCTAAAACAATTAGTGCAATAATCCACAAACGCTAAGCCCTAAGAGTGATCAGCATCAAAATTTCTCCTTGTAATATCAATGCTTTGTATAACAGAGTGGTCATGAGAATAACGGACATGATCACACAAGATGAATTTGCTTGATATTTTATTAACTTCTCCCCACCACTTCTGTAGGAAATGAATAGGGGCAACAAATGAGAATTCGAATTTTGATCTTAGGGTAGTGTTAAACCTTGGGGATTGGTTGATCCTGGCTCTATACAGAAGCCGACATAATTATAACCAACCGGCCTTAGACCTTCAATGAAGCTTACAGTTGTGTGCTCTGTGCCATGGCCTGTGAAAAGAAGCGAGGCTAATTAAAGGTGACCTTGAATTGTTACAAACCTTCCTGCTTTCACGGGCTTGTTCGGAGGATGAGAATAACACGATAAGCTACGATATGAGATTTGCACACAGCAGGTCAAGGTTTGTAACAAAACAAGGTCACTTCCAGCCTCGCTTCTCATTACAGAAACGCGCCCATTCAAAAACGTCGATCGTGAAAATGCAAATAAGTGAAAAATGAGGTTAATTTAGTGTCAATCAAGAAATCCCCTGGGTATATCCCTTTCCTGGTTATTGTTCCTGCTCAGACATCTGCAACATTTGCCTATTCTTCGATGAAGAATAGAACTTCACGCCACTAACAATAGCTCAGTCTGTTTAAAAACTGTCTAAATTTACTCCGAATTAGCATGTGACTTTTTGCTGTTAAACGCTTCAAAATTGAAAAATCCTCGATGATTGTTGTTGATTTTGCCGTAAATAATTCAATGCACTGACTTAAAAAGAATTTCTACCTTTTACAAACTTCTTGGTGTTCGAATCGATCGATGTAATATGAGCGCAACCGATGCGTTACCACCGTTTTCGTTGATACGCGACTTTCGAAAACAAGACACCCGCGGAAACGTTTCCAAAATTTCCGTCAATTATGCATGTTATCGACAGATCGGATCGAAATCCACCAATCACAGCCACTAGTGTGACCTTCTGACCTCGATAACACGCATGATTGACGGAAATTTTGGAAACGTTTCCGCGGGTGTTTTGTTTTCGAAAGTCGCGTATCAACGAAAACGGTGGTAATAGTTTGTTTACATTTTGTCATGCGTTTTGGATAATATTATAAACCTTAAAATTTACGGGCAAATTCGACGAGAAAGCACTCTCACTTACATTCTTCATTTAAGATATTGATTTTAGCAAAGTATAAGGCAAAATTAAGAGCGATACTTTCTTTAAGAACGCTATAACTACATATTTAACGGCCAAACCGAAACAGCGATCTAATCCGTCTCTTGAAAACAACTACAATACCGCTTCTGATGATAATATTCATAAACGCTACAAACATTTTATTCAATCTTATCGAGTGATTTTCGTGAAGATGAGTTTTTAAGTGAAGAATACTTTGGTTTCTGATTAGCTTTAACTGTTTTACCATCAAAACGATTCGCACGCCGAATGCGCGAGGGTTTTATGTTAGAGCACGAGGAAGAAAAATGCTTCTCTTTGCATAAACACTCAGAGCCAGGACACTAACCGCTGCAACTTGGAATTCAGTGGAATTGGTTGGCGACCTTCCCTCCTTCACTTACAAATTATTGTGAACATATCATAAGTAGATTGAGTATGATCTTCCGGTGAACGTAGGACTGACGTTTCGACAACCTGTGCGGTAGTAACAATAACAATACACCCATCCTATTGAATTTTCAGGACTACGTTCACCCGGATGATCATATTCAACCTACTTGTGAATTGACTCCTGGGTTCAAACCTTTCACAGTTTTATTGTGAACATTATTATGAAGACTCTATACGTACCTCCTTCGTCACGTTTTTCCGTCTCCGTCTCCGTGATCATTATTGGGCCGCTGGAGAGAATATGTTTGCTTGTGCTTTCTTCATGTTCTATTTCGTCAATTGCGTCTCGTCTCTTTCTTCTTTTACTGCTTAAACAACCCCTGCTGCATCTTTAAACAAAATTTTCGGCTTACAGATCGTCATAATGTGCTTTTGTTTGGCCTCGTTAACGTGCAAATTTCGCGCACAGCGATGAATGGAGGAAAACATAGGGGAGATCCAGTCTTTTCAAGCTATGTTACTTCGCTTTACTTACTTATAGGTAATGAACGACCAATGCAGGGAAAATGAAGTTGCCTGTGTATCATGCTTGTGATACTACCAGAAAATGGCAAAACAGGGAAAGAATGAACTTAGTGTGTAATAATGTCGTATGCGGTTCAAGTAGAACTGCGCCTTGTTCCCACCCCGGGGTCGGTAAAGCCCCCTTTAAAAGTAAGCCGATGCGCTCGTCGTCTCACATTGGGATAGAAATTGCATATTATGATATCATAATTTAAAATGCTCAGGGTAGAAAGCCAATAATTTTCCCTATAAAGATATGACGTAAGGTTAAGCGAAAAGAAATATAAACAAAAAGAAAGGAAACGGGGTCATGCTTTGGAGCCACACCCAGATCGGTCTCAATTAGGGGTTTAATTCTGTTGTTCCGTCTAACATCCCTTGTATAGATGGTTTTCACTGTGACGTCATCAAATTGTAAAGTCAAAATACCGAGGTTTTAAGAATTCTTATTTACACTAGGTTGAAGATAAACAAAAAGTAAATCTTTGTACAAGTTTTTATTTCAGTAGCGTGTTTCGTTTCGAAAATACAGCAATTTGAACTTCCGAGTTTTCACAATGCGTCACACCAAAATAGGAATGCTGTCTCGTTGAAAAAAAGTCTCTCCTCTTGATTTTCAGCAGTATAACCACTTGAAGTATTAGAAGATATGTTTATGCGTACGTATGCTAGTTCTCGAGTGAAAAGAAAGAGCTTTTATAGAAAAAGTGAACTCCAGATGTTTTTGTTGATTTCTTGCGGCCATTGCTGCACCGTTTTGGTGCACCAATATGGCGTCTCCATACAAAGCTCTACAAAGGTGCGTGAAACGTTTCGGCAAATAACTCAGAAACTATGGGCCACAAAGACCTGAGACTCGGACAAATTGTTTATATAATAATATTAGTCTTTTACAACATTTCATTTTCTTGGCTTCTTTCACTGGACGGTTTCCAATTTAATTTTTTGTTGCGTGACAGTGAAAACGATCTATAGGAGTACCCCTGGCTTGTAGCACAGAGGGTCTGCTATCTAGACATACCTTGAATTAAAACTGTATCTGTAACAAGCAAACAACTCGCAGTGGAAGTAAACAACGTCATAGTCGTTAAAGAACCTGAACGATCTAATTTTAAACTGCTGAGAGCTCCCTGAGGGATTATACGTGTACTCCATAGTTGTATCTCGCCCGCAACTAGTGGTGTAATATAAAACAAAAAAATGTATTTTAGTTTAATTACTATGGATGTCGCTGTGCCTTATAGCTCGTCAGATGTTATAGTTAGCCTATTTCAGCGCTATATTCAGTTATATATCCCCCTCTTTCCTCCTCCCCTCAACTAAAGACTTTCACTGTACCCACAATTCTAACGTCGGTTTTAAAGTCCATAAAATCCCCTCTAAGACTTATAACTGAAAGGGTTTTTTTTTTCTTGTTGACTAGTTATCCTTTTATGCACGCAAGACCGGTTTTGCATGACTGATCTAAATCAAACAACCATGCAGTATACATTGAAACCAAGAGAAGCATGGAACCCCTTTTCTGATGACGAATTTAATTTTTGTAAACTTGAACTTTGAACTGTTAATTAATGGTATATAACATTGTATGATTGGCATATTAACTCCTTGCATGAACTTTTTGACCTTTTTTTAGCTCTGGGAAAAATTTGCACGAGCTCATAAAGATAATTTTGTAGATAAGAGCCACCACTTGGCCCCGATGGTCGATAACGAAAGTCTTTAACCATGCGAAGGATCGGATCGAGTTGTGAAGAGACATGCTGATATAAACTTATTCGATCAAACGTTTTACTTTTTCCCGTACTCAAACATATTTTACACTTACCCATTCTGTATTAGGTTATATTGAGGCAATGAGTAGAAATATGCAGTTTTGGTGGTCCTACAGTTTTCAGCCATTATCACTAGGTCAGCACTAGACTCCACACTGTACTTCACATAAAGGAACTCGTTTAAAGGGACAGATATTGGGTAGTCGTTTTCAGTGTAAGGTGTGGCAAACGCAGCAGTCCTGTAAAAGTCCATTCTGAAAGTGAAGTTCCCATATCCAGCTACGGAAAAAAAAAAGTGTTTATATGTGGGAATGGATGGGGAATGGAAAGCCTCCTCTATAAGGTTTTACACATAGAGGTTGGCAACGATTTACTGCTCAATTGCTGCTCTTTTCGCGAAAGCAAATGGGTCGACTGCAGGGTAAACTATCTTAAAAACTTCCTGTGGTGTTCTTGTATTTGTGCAGTGGTGAGTACAGGGTTTGGTCGTTTTTATTGTCCAAAATATACGTCTACGTCTGGTGATCCAATCAGACAAGCAGATCATACCGTGATTTCAAAATCAATCCAAGGCAAATAAAACCAGACGCCATATAGGGGCTAACTGGGCTGCATTGGTCTTTATTTCAAATAAATTGATAGGCTGTGTTCTCTACAGTCAAAAATTCTCATCCAATCTCTGCGGAAGCAAAATTTAAAACGGACTTTCTTAGCCATTTGAACAGCCGATCCTGAAGCTGGAAGATTAATAACAACAAGACGCTCGAGTGCGTGAACTCGGATGAACTAACTGCTGAAATATATGAAAAGAAACAAGAAATTTCATGCATTATACTTGCCTTGGACCTGCCTTAAGTTAACCTTATTAAGATGTGCACTGTAAGTGTTTAAAAGTTTTGGGCGAGTTCGACTATGTTCGATTACCGAACCCAATCGAAGTCAGTCGAACGATCGGCGTTCGATTGACTTCGTCGGGACTTATGACTAAGACCTACACGACATATTATAGTTGGTCAGCAATATATAATATCTGATTTGCAATGTAATTAAAAGAAAGAAAAAAAAGCACCTTCTGAACCAATGAAAATTTGTTGCGGCTGAGATTGAATACTTAGTATCCTTTTTCTGGAATAGCTGCAGTGAAATCGAAGATTGATATCGTGTGTGCGGGTGATGACATTGTCAACAATTACTGCATCTACTTGGATTTCATTCCAGAAGATTAATGCATCCTCTGTTTCATTCACCAATGTTCCACAGGCGTTCAAAGTGGTGCTGATTAAAACGTGGGTTGAATTCTGGGTGGCCCTGCAGTTAAATAAGACCAACTAAAACATAATAAAAAATCGATTCATCACTTATTCATAAAGAAAATTCAAAGGAAATGTTGCATGAGCCTGTTGGGCTTTTAGCTTCGATTTCCTTGAGAAAACAATAAGAAACTCCTGGATTTCTGGAGGATCAATCTTACAGTTCGCGGCAAGGACTCCAAGTAGTTCGTTTTATTATTGCTTGTTATGGGATGGAGGTGTTTACGGTCAACTGTTAACATTTTGGCTTTTTTTACGTAAGGGTTAATTGCTTTACTTTTTGTTACGGTTTCCCAGTTAACAGACTCCTTTGAAGAAGAAAAAAAAAAAGAAATTGCGGTTAACCTTTTTCACGACTACGGTTTAAACTTGGCATTTTTACGCCTAACGACTAAAATGTTTGAAGGCTAACTCCATAAAGGCCCTCGTGATATAACAGACTAAAATCACACATTTATGGTGACAGCAAGTGTTTTAAATTTTTGAGCCATCATATTCCGGCTGTACCTGCAGGAAGAATAGCGTAAGTGAAGGTTGTTGGCATCAAAAAATGGAAATGATTGCTTCTCTAAAGAAACGGTCATGTTGTTCTCGTCGCACGTAACTGTAGCTCCTGGTTCTGAAATACATAATAAGACACTAGATTACTGTTCAAAAATTGCAGTTTTGATAGGGAAAATATATTAATGTTATGTCAATTGAAATTATTATGTAGATTTAAGTTGCATTTTATCCAGCAAATTAGATCTGGATTCACTAATTATTATCATTGAAAATAAATAAGTGAATGTGACTGTGGTTAATATGATGGCCTTTCCTGCTATCCGGGACATTACTCAGTGTAGATTCGTAGGTCATGAAAGCGAGGAACGATGCCTCTTAGTCGTTGTAAAAAGAGACTCACCTAAATGAAAAAACTTAAACGTAGGAACCGATTCCTGATAAATGCCGTTTATCCCGGCCCATATCTCAAACAGGGCTCAACCAAGGGGTACTCTCGACATCATCATTGCTTAATATTTAAAGGAACAAGAAGCATAAGCTCGTCTGTTAATTCCTGGATTAGTCTAAAACATATTCCCTATTTTTTAAAAAACATACTGCAAGAGTAATTGTGCAAATTCTCTAGTTTAAATTTAGCTATATAACACGTACTTACCAACACAAGTTAAGTTGTTGGATGCCATAGTTGTCCGCTCAGGGCATCCACAGAAAAATGATCCAGGAATATTGTAGCAGTAATGACTACAGCCACCATTGTTGGTTAAACATTCGTCAATATCTATGAAGTGAGTGGAGTGATAGATGTTTAGTCTCTCTATAGTATACAGAAAAAGATTTTTTCAAGCTTGTAACAAATCAGCGAGACGTTAGGCCCTTCGCATAACAAAATGTTATCGCCTGTTTGCCTTTACTTTGTAGCTTGTGACTGGTTGAAATTGGTAGACAAGTGTACAATAGTTTCAATAGTGAACTTTCGCAAAAGGACGGCGGAGGCAAGCAGGAGACGGCAAACCTTAGGCGACAAGCGTGACAACGATTTTTTATTTGTTTGAAAAAAATTCCGCCAAACTTCATCTTCCTATGAACAAACCTTTTGGCAAAGGGCCAAAACACAGTGATGTTAAGCCAAGATTGGGACAAAATTAGCAAGTTATAGCCCTGTCACGTTTGTCACGCACAGGCGTTTTGCCGTCCTCTTCTTTCTGCCGTCCTGTTGCGCAAATTCACAAATTTTGTTTCGACCAAAACAAGCTATCCTTGTCACCCTTGTTCTGGCCTATAAATAGCTTAATTTCGAGAAGCTCGAAAACAGTGACATGATATCTTTCTGGGTGTTCAAAATAACCCTACCTAAAGCAGATGGAATGTAAATACAAAGGGATTTCTATTTTGGATGCATCGTTATTCCCCTCCACAAAAAAGTCTTGAATCTCCCGAATTCTATAATTATATTTAAGAGTACAACCCTAAAAGCTTTCATTAAGATAAGTAAAGGGAACCTTTTCATCTTACTCGCTTTCATTAGCTTTCAGCAGCTGTTTTGAAAGAGTATGGACCTAAAGACGCTCCTTAATCGCGGATGAAGTTATAAGGTGAGTATAATTGTGTATATATAAACCGTTGGAGAGCGCCGAGTTTGCCAGACATGAGTTTATCATTTACAAATCTTTGATTGGAAGCAATTTGCCAGACAATCTTTCTCTCCCTTTGGGGGACTAAGACTCAGTCCACAAACAAGCAAGAAGAGCGAATCAACAACTAGATCATCACCAGCAAAACAATAGACGATACAGAAATTCCCCGACAATTAAATTCTGTGCTGATGTATTCCTTGCTCACAGATGTCCTTCTATAAAGTTCTTTTTTAAGTATTATCTTGATACAATGTTAATAGTTTAAAAAATGACTAGAACGCGCGAGCATGAAATTTATTCCCAAGGCTTACTTTCTGGCTGATAAATTATGTCGAAAAATGAACTGTATGCAAAAAGTGAAAGAGAAATATATAGCGAAATTCCAACTTCTAATCAAATCTTTTCTCACGGTTTAGAATAAAAGATTCTCGAGATTGAGAATGTTTTGATCAAAGCTTTGTAAGGGCCTGTTTATATGGAGGTGGGGGATCCCGGGTAGGTGAGGTAACCCACGGCGGGTTACCCCACTTATCATGTAACTCAAATTAAAATGAGAGATTATATGGACAGGCGGGTTACCCCACCTAAGTGGGTTACCTCACCTACCTGGGGTCCTCCACCTCTGTGTACACGGGCTCTAAATCGAACTGAAACAGCGCATGGAACCTTGTGTTTCATGCATGGAATATGTGTGAAATCTTCATTATTACGTTATAAGGCAAAAAAAAAGTCCAAGAAATAAAGAAGCGATAACTTTGTGCTTGAATATTCACGGTTAAGAACTGGGCTCAATCTTGTTACGTCATCCGATAAAAGAATTATCCGGATTAGCTTCCACATGATTCCGGATTCATAGCGTCTTAAAAAAGTTCCATTCGCTCAGGAGAGCGGATTCAAAAAGTTTCGGATTCGTATCCCGGATTCACCGGATACGTGCGGACGGAAGCCGAATCTGCAAAGAAAAAGTTGCGGATTCAAAGATATCAGGATACGTGTGCATTGCATATTCTTGGGACCTAAGAATACTATTGACCGACAACATACAGCTATTAGTATTACTAGTGTTTTACCGAGGGACTCACCCAGACAGGATTTTCCATCAGAAGACAGTTGATACCCGCCGAAACATGAACAGCTATAGCTCCCTGGGGTATTTTTACAGATTTGATGACAGTCCGCTGGCACATGAAACAGGAAGTCCATAGGATTCGAAAGCGCATTTAAACTAAACGGTGCATAATACCCTGAAGACGAAACAAATCGAAACACAGTTCGCAAGTAATCCACCTTGATCTTAAGAGACCCTGTAAGGAGAATGGGACGAGCCACATACACTGTACCTCCAGGGGCACCCAACGAGAATATAGTTCAAAACCACTTAAACATAGCATTGTTAAACGTATTTTAGTATTTAAACGGTAGATATTGGCATATTTTTATCCGCTAAAAATTTTTCATCTGTTCGGATTTCCTAGCTGAAAGTCTAGTGATCCGAAAATTATAGGGATCAAAACTTACCTTTTCGAAAATGTCAGTCAGAAAAAAGGCTTCCGAAAATTCTAGGTGACCTTTTTAGGGTAAAAATCCGTTAAAAATAGGCAAATATACTATATTCTGGATGTTCGAAAATCCTAGGAGAGGAAGGCAAGCAAGAAATTTTACAACAAATGGTTCGAAAATTCTAGATCTCAAATCATCTTCCGAACAGATATTTTCCGAAAATTGTCGTTGGGTGCCCCTGTACCTCTATCAAAGTAGTTATTTATTCGCTTATTAATTTTTGTCTTTTGAGACTGTTGGATCTTTAATTTATAGTCACTTGCCATAAAACAGGGTAGCAAAATGAACGGTTTTCGTCGTAAAATGAAAATTGTTAGGCGGTACAACCCTACCCAAATTTCCTTTAGTGACGACCCACGAAAGGCGATTGACAAATATGTAGACTTACCCGACACACTTGCACTGATTGAGGGTGAGATACTTGCAGAATAGCTTGGTGAGACTAAGACGCTTCCACTTGTTGAGGTACTTGCTGAAACATTTGTTGACAGTTAAGTTTAAAACATTTGTTAATAGACCTTAAAACGAACTTTTTGTAGCGGTATCCAAAAAAAAAAAAATTGAAAGATCTAAACACCATATCTGATTGCCTAATCAAGTGACTGGTTGACTGACCGACCGACTAACCGACTGATTTACTGAATGACTTACTGGCTCATTAACTTATTAACTGACTGATTAACTGATTGACTGACTAGCTGATTTTTACTAATCAACGGACTGATAAATTGATTGGCTGAATGACTAATACTGGCTGACTGACTGACTGACTGACTGGTTGAATTACTGACTGATTGGCTAAATGACAGTCAGTGACTAATTGACTCATTGACTGACCCACTAACTACCTGACTGACTGACTAAGTGACTGACGGACTGTCATACTGATTGACTGATTGACTTATAACTGACTCACCCGAATGACTCAAACAAGTGACTGAACGTCTAAGACACATTTTTTACTCTTTTTGTGCCAATGGGCAACGACCTAAGGAAGGCGATTGACAAATACGTACACTTACCCGACACACTTGCACTTATTGACGGTGAGATACCTGCGGAATAGCTTGATGAGACTGACACACTAGTTGAGGCCCTTCCTGAAACACTCACTGCAAAACAAGCCCATTATTGGGAGATATTTGTTAAAAACAGTCAAATATGCTGGCCACGGACAGACGTGAATGTTAATGTGCTCCGTAAAGTTTTCATTTTTCCCATATTAATCAGTCGCATGTCTTATTGGCTATTAAACAATAATAAAAAAAATAATTTAAAATTCTTTGTTTTCTTTTGATTCACTTTAAAAAAACTACTCAGTCAAAGTACTATTTACAATTCCTAATAATAATAATAATAATAATGATCGATGATAATAATAATAATAATAATAATAATAAGAGAATAACATCTTTTATTGATAACAAAGCTAACTAAAAAATCCTATTTACAATTAATTTCACTTAAAAAACTATTCAGACAAAGCACTATTTACAATTCCTTTCGATTAAGAAGAAAAGACACTTAATTTCGACTGAAAAAAATTCATTCCATTAAATATATATATATATTCGAAAAAAAAATTAATTAAAAAACTGTTCATGGCAACTAAACTAATTTGAATTAACAATAATTAATAATAATGATAATGATGATGATAATAATATCCTTCATTATCCAGGGCAGTATCTTTAGCACGAATGCAAGTGTTGCCGAGCAAATGTCTGAAACAAATAATTAAGAATCCCAATTGGCCGGAGGCAAACCGTGCGTGAAACCACTCGAGGATTTGAACTCTGGACTACCGAGAACAGATCAGCTAGCGGTCAGGGGCCTCTGAACTAAACTTCCAGCGTTCTAACCGCTCTACCACGTTGCTCGTGGTTTTCGGTTGACTTTCTTTGCTTCGTCCTTCCATACCACCTCTTCTATATAATACCTGAATCAATCGCAACAGTGAACTTAAAGAGAGCAATCAACCTGCTTGTCTCACCTTCCATAATAGCTGCGGAACCACATTCGTTCATATCTGGAAAAAATGGAAGTATTAGTACACGAGTGTAAGAGAAGGTTGAAGGACCAAACCTGGCGTATACTGTCAGGTGAGTGACATTTTCAATCATGAAAAGGCCCACGGCAGCGCCATCGGTAATAACAAATTATTGTGTTCTACGTCATTAAAATGCAACCCTTATTCCATGCCACGAGACCCCTAGGCATGAATCGAAAGAAACTGAATTTTGTGTTTAGGTCAGACGCGATTTTAGCTAATTAATTTCTCAGTTAGGACGAGTATATCCAGAAGTATTAAGGTGGCTGAACACAGTTTTGCGGGCGGTCAGCGGTAACTCGCATGACAGCGAGTGTTTGAACTTAGACAAACAAACATGGCGGCGAAAAAGCAATGGTACACACAAGACGACTTCTCAAAATCTACTCATTAAAATTTTGTGATATTTGGAGGAATTTTTACTTTTATCGTATTTTAGGTGATGAGAACTTTAAAATGGAAGTTGAACAGACGATTTTTGTGACACATTTAATAATTACAGTACATATTATATTATAGATTATCTAAAAACCCCTCTGTTAAAATTTGGTCAAGTAAGTTTCAAATGGTAACGATTAATTATAGTAAGCTATGTGCAAGTTAATAGGAAAATCTAACTACTGAATTTTCTTTAAACTAAGCTTAAGGGAAATTTTAAGGTTGTATTCAATCATTCATGTTGCCATGGAAGCTTCGAAAATGTCAAATTTTACCTGTCAATCAAAGTATTTCATCACTATATTTTTCCCTTGGCAAGTTTCAGCTTGTGAGCTGCAACCCTTCTCTTGCCATGATTTGGCAAATGACATATACTTACAAACCGCCACAACTGTGTTCAGCCACCGTAAACTAAAATAAAACCATTGAACTTTGGCAATGACCTAAGCATTATTAGTCAAAAATTCATGTGTCTCTATTTCTAATGATGATAAAAATTAGCCAATCGGCGTTCAGAATATCGCTGCAGTTATTAAAAATAAAGGCATTGACAAGCTTGACATACCAACACAACTGGTTAAATCTGGTAAAGCAAGGGTATATCCGACAGGACAAACGCCAGCAGTGAATTGCCAGTCACTTGTGTTAGTTATTCCTGGTGTGGGTGGTCCGTCATAAGAACAACCTTGTCCAACCACTGCTCCACGATCCATCAAAATGGCGTATGAGCCGTTCATACTTAATGCAGCATAAGGCATTGCAAACTGCAGGGTGGTTTGATCACTGTTGATTATGACAAACTGAGAGAGAGTGTCCACTTTATGAACTGTGTGCTCGCTGGGTAGAAGGACGAGTCTGATGAAGGATGAAGAACGGGGCTTTTTTATCTGTATAAGAAAAGAATAGTTGAATGATATGATAATTCTGGTTTCATCCCTAAAAATAGGCTAACGAGCACCCACTCCTTTCAGTGAAAAGCCCATTGGCTCAACACTTTTATTGCCCCAATTCTTGCGTTATAAACAACTGCACCATATTCAGAAAAAAAAAAAATTAAAATATCAGTAAAAACTACAACTATGGTTTACCGTAAAAACAAACAAACAAACAAACAAAAACAGATAAGAACGATGTCGAAACAGGCAAGGAAAAAAAATGATAGAGATAATGAAGACAATTAGGTTTAAACTTTTCATTGATCTATGGGAAAGAAACACTTTGAACCATAAACAAAAAAGAGCAAGATATACGCATAATTGCAAAAAAGAGGTCGGCGTGGCATATATCCGTAGAAAGTGAAGAAAGAATAACATGCACGGGATAAAAAATTGCAGTAAAATTAGGCCCAGCAGAATAAGGAAAAAGAACAACTGAATGCTTAACTGTGAGTAGCCTGTTCCAGGCACTCAGATAGTAGGGAACACGTGAAAGTAGATGGCACGCGAAAGTTGGCGGGGCGGGAAAAAGGAAAAAGCCTCTCCCCAGTTTCCTCCCGTTTTATTTTCGTGTTCGCGCTTTCTCAATTCAGCGGACCCGACCTGTCACAGCGTTTTGGGCATCCCCGCGTTTTGGGCATCCCCATTCCCATATCCCTAGCGTTTTGGGTATCCCCTTCTCATATTACTGCAGCGTTTTGGGCATCCCCCGGTACCCTCCCGGGATGCCCAAATCCCTAGCGTTTTGGGCATCCCTTCCAAAACAATTTGGGATTTCGCGGGAAAATCGAAAACCTTTTAGAGATGGATTCCGCTAAATATACAAACCTGTTCCGGTATCTTAAAAATAAGGTTTATCCGGAAGGCTTTACAAAGCAGGACAAAACAATTCTTAGAAAATTCGCCAAAAAGTTTGAGTATGACTCAAAATTAGAGTCCTTGTTCTACGTGGCCAAGGAGAAGGATGGCACAGCGCTTCGACGTCTTGTTATCGCCGAGGAAGATAAAGCGAGGGTCTTCGAAGAGTGCCACTGATGATTTGAGGCCTCAGTAATTGTGTGACAGCCTTTCCTGTATCAAGTAGCGCTGCGGGGTTAAGTTGTACAGGCCTCAAATGTCATGAATACTATGAATGCAACACCGCAAAACGCAGTTTTATTCATGTTTGCCTTTTGATTCCTTTGTTTAGTATTCTTGTTTTTGGCTGTTTGGAATCAGACGATCGCAGCTGCCGGCGATTGCGGCATTGCTCGCTTGTAAACAGTTCTATTAAATAAAATTGAAAGCTTTGCAAACAATGAAGTGTTGTGCATCGAAGCAATGTTATGCGGTTGTAAATTTCAGTTTCGTCATGTTTTGAGCCAACGTTTATTGCCTATGGGTTTTTTTCTGCGCAATTAACCCGGCAAAAAGTGTCGGACGATATAATTCTAACATGCATCTACACTATTTAGCCGTAAATTCGTGATTAACAATCCCGACTTTTCCCCAGTCTGAAATAATTTAGGCAAAGTCGAAGTGATCAGCGTTTTGGGCATCCCCCACCGGGGATGCCCAAAACGCTAGGGATATGGGAATGGGGATGCCCAAAACGCGGGGATGCCCAAAACGCTGTGACACCGACTATCTCGGAGCCTGGAACAGGCTAAACGGTGAGTGGAAGCCAGTTTACGCTTTGTTCACTCGAATTAATCTTACCACCCTATCAAACTGTATGCTCCACCACATAATGCCTGGTCCGCTTGTACTGAGAGGGGTATGAGGCGTACGACTTCCCAAAATAACGCGGGGGGTACTACCTAGGAGGCAAAATAGCATCCTGATCATCTGTTTAAATAATCTTTACCTTCGGGCGCTCAGAAGCTGTTCATTGTCCATTTCCTGACTCGTTTTAAAGTTATAACTTGACTTGATTTCAGGCCCCTTTCAAAATTATGACACGATACACTTGAGGTTTTTTATTCCACTTATACTTGCGGTTTTGCCTATTCTACGGTTTTTCCCTTCTCATATGTCTGTTCCAAGCAAACGTACGCTTAAACAAACACGCATATTTATGCGTTACAAAAAAGGACGTCCTAGTCGCTGTATAAGATGGAGACATCGAATTATACCGTCAGCAGCTATAATGCCTATAAACCATTTCATGTGTGATAAAGCTGAAAAGTAACTGTGATTGAGTCAAGAATGGCCGTAGTAATTTTGTGCAAGGTTCGGTTTTCATTCATAGTCCTCACGTTAGTAGTGGTTGATTAAGGCTCTTGAAAACTGATTTGTTGGAATCTATGGATTGTCTTTTGAGAGGCTGTGTGTGGAGCCGGACCGTGAGCTCGAGAAGGTAAAGATAGTCATATCCTTTGGAAAAAAAGCATCCCGTAAATTCTCTATTAAGCCCCCCCCGGGGGGGGGGGGGCTTATTTTTTTTCAAGCACTTTTGAGGGGGGGGCTTAAAAGAAAGGGGGGGAGCTTATTTAATTTAGCGAAACTTAACACCGGTAGAATAGAATTTTTACCGACGCGAGCAAGGTTTCTTGAGGGTGGAGTTGCGGTTCCCGGGCGTTATACTACTTTTTCTAACAATAAAATGGTAAAAATTCTCCACAGAGTATTAGCCGGCTTGAAGTTGAAAAAGTTAAGCACATGAAGTTGGGTGTCATACGGTTGAAGACCCAAAACAATATGAATTTCCAGCCTGAATAATCCATAACTAATCAGTCCCAAATTAATTGTTTGAGAAGAATAAGGGTGGAGGGAAGGGGGAAGGGGGCTTAATAGAGAGGGGGGCTCCTCTGAAAAGGGGGGCTTAATAGAGAGAGGGGGGAGCTTATGAACTTTCCTCCTATAAAAAGATCCCCCCCCCTCTTTTCAGAGAAGGAAAGTTAATAAGCCCCCCTCTCTATTAAGCCAAAATAAATAATAAGAAAAATAAATAATAAGTAAATAATAAAATATTAAGCTTCTTAGAGAAGAGGGCTTATTTGAGAGGGGGGCTTTAAAGAAGATTTACGGTAGAATAGGAAATATCGCAAGTATACGTCGCAAAAAACGTGTATCGTCATAATTTTGAAACAAATGGCCGATCATGGAATTCTCTTCGCAGTTGAGTGTTTCCCAATAAGCCCAAGGATTAACATGGTTTACTTACTAATACCGACGAGAATTGTTATGCATCGATATTGACTCCCCAACCTAGTTAAGAAAGATAATTTAACAGTTAATGAATGAGGCTGAGTATCTTATGAAGAATTATGGAGATCGAGGAGGGTGTAATCCGTCGAGGCCGTAGGCCTAGGCGGATAACGCCCTCCGAAATCCCCATAATTCTTCATATGATACGAAAGCCGAATTTAATAATTGTTTTATTATTCATTCAAAATAATTCCTAGTTTAAAAACATAGCTAAAAACAGCTTACGTGCATCGATGTTAAGTTTATCTTCGGTAGTTTACGTTTAGGTTTGTCCAGCTCCGCAAATATTCTCCAGATCATGCAAATGTCGCCCTCCGAGTTGTCTTCTTGCTGTTTTTGCTATGTTTTTAGCCGTTATTTCGCCCAGTTCCGGCTGTGGTTCTTACTCTTGAAACGAGTGAAGTGTCCGCCATTTTAGTTTTTACAACGAAAACACTCTGAACCTCGTCCCCAGGTCTTCTGCATTAACGGTGCATTAACCTGTAGAAGACTGCATTTTTGACGTCATTTCCTCGTTTAACACAAAATCTTCCAAATTTGGTCATCAGTAACTGGTTATGGTGAATTATGCGTGTGCTTTTAGCCAATCAGAAGTGGGAAAATATTTTGAATGAATAATAATAACAATTAATGAATGAGGCTGAGTATCTTATGAAGAATTATGGAGATCGAGGAGAGTGTTATCCATCGAGGCCGTAGGCCAAGGCGGATAACACTCTCCGAGATCTCCATAATTCTTCATATGATACGAAAGCCGAATTCAATAATTGTTTTATTATTCATTCAAAATAATTCCTAGTTTAAAAACATGGCTAAAACTGATCGATGTTAAGTTCATCCTCGATGGTGCACGTTTGGAGTCGTTCAGCTCCGCAAATATTCTCCAAATAGAAGACGTCGCCCTTCGAGTTGTCTTTATGCTGTTCTTGCCATGTTGTTAGCTATTTTTTCGGCTAGTAATACTCTTGAAACGAGTGAAATGTCCGCCATTTTTGAAGTTTACAATCAAAGCAACTCATCCTCGTCCCCAGGTCTCGCTTACCGGAGCATTTGACGCCATTTCCTCGCTAAACACAAAATTCTTCCAAATTTGGTCATCAGTAACTGCTTATGGTGAATTAAACGTGTGCTTTTAGCCAATCAGAATCGGGGAAATATTTTGAATGAATAATAAGCGGGTATATCCCTAACAAGTATTGCCACAAGTATTGCATATTTCTAACGGCTAACTGTTCGTCTTTCGACAACAAAGATAAACAATGAATAAACAACTAGATGGCAATTTTAGAAAACATTAATGACAGTTTGAAATACCTAAACAAGTTAAAACTAATGATATAATTTGTCCGGACGCTTCGGTGACAGCACGCCACGAGATTATCAAGGAATGAGTACGAATAGGCCATTTCCGAGTTCCTCGGGGCCTCTGTTTCAAAACGAGCGTAGGTGCTCAGCCTTTGATATGGAAATCATTTTTCATTCTCATGCAAGAAAAGGTTTCATTCTCATTTCAAGAAAGGTTGTGCACCTTGCCTCATTTTGAAAGTGACAGTTTTTGGAACTCGGAAGTGGCCTATTAAAAACTGACGGTATTCAAGCACTCCGCAGCCCTTGCAGTAATTTTATACGTTAATTTGAAGCTCCTTCAAGTATGAAAGCGGCCATCAATGGGAAGCACTACTGAGAAAGGTATCCGCAAATAGTACAAGTAGTTAGCCTCTTTCCGTACAGAAAAAGGTTTTGTAAACAGAGAGTTGAACTTGCATTGTTTTAGCTTTAGGTTTAATTTGAATTTCAGCATTTTTGTTATACTTTCCTCCACATTCTTGTAACAATCATTAGTTTGTTAACATTCAGTCACACCTTTCTGGCTAGCCCTCTTTTATAAGTTCAACGCTTTTCCATGTTCAGTATCTCACGTTTGACAATGGTCTTGAAATAAGAACCGAAATATTACGTTTATTTCTTTTGTGTTAATTCTTGCCTATACTTATATTTTAAGTTAGCAAGATGTTTTTCGGAGTTGTTTTTGTATTATATTTTCTTCATTTGTCGGCGGGTAAAGGTTGCCAGTAAAACGGGGTTAAATTGTCAATAAGTCCGAAGTTGAGCCGGTTCGCTAACTAGAGTTTTCGTTATTATAAATGAACTTTGACTATATTCAGAGTTAAAGAACTCATCTCACCCTGACGAGTCAACTGCTTTAAAACAGAACGACTGTTTTCCAACTTGATATTGGCTGGGGTACCATGTGACATTACTGTAATAAACACCTTGACCCCTTTGACGTGGAGAAGTGATTACCATTCCAGGCGGAGAAGAAGCCACGATCTCTACAATGCTGAAATATATATATATGGGTGAATGATTTTTCCAGTAACCAGTAAAGCGATAATTAATGACCGATTACAGCTGCGCTTTTTATTTAGTGTTAATTTCTATTATTAGTAAATTCTTACTATTTTAAAAATATTTGCAGTTCCCTCAGTCAACGAACATGCTAGTTTTCTGCAATGGCGTTTAACGGAGAAAAATGTAAATTTTTTCTGTTTTTTATTCACGTTACTGGCTGCTCTATTGCCAGTTGTCAAATGGAAGGACTCTATTTAGAGTACACTCAAAATCATTCAGGAATCGCTCCAAATACCATTTCTGAACCAAAAGGAGTACTCCCAGTTACCGTAGGTAAGGTCATACAACGTTTATGTAGCATTTATCCAGGCACAATATTTAGCGATATACCGCTACAAATGAAGCAAACGCTAAATTCAGTGCACTAGTTTACTGTAAAATTTCAATCGGTTACAAAAACAGAATGTGTGGACTCCCGCTGGAAAAACTCACTGTTTCGAAACGTCTGCAAGTGTGACCTCGATCACAGCTCTGTACAATGAACCAATCTGTACTTCGGTACATTCTCCATCGTTAGGTGATGAAGGAGTAAATACTGGAACATTGTTACAAGAACCAGAATGGCTGCTTATTATAACAAGAAACTGCAGTCCCACAGCACTAAATGGAGTAACGCCGACGAAATTTGTAGTTCCAGCTGGAAAGTCCTCTAGCATCAGTGCTACAGCGTAAATACCAGTCGTTCCATTGTTGCCATTAAACGTCAGCAGACATGTCTTCTGTTTAAAGACAGTTACAGTAAAAGGAGATTTAACACTAATCCCTCTAGCATATTGCAATTAAACTTTTTAATTTCAGATCAAAATTAAGTTTAGTTTTCATTATCCCGTTCAGTATTAAATCGAACAAGTGCTAATCGAATCAGTTTATTATTGCTCACGCAGGGATTTCGCGCAGAAGGCGAAATCCCGAGGAGGTACTCTAGTAACTCACGCGTATATTAAGGAAAGTACTTACAGTTGAAATATACAGTCAGTATGCCAGAAAAAATCTCGATTTGCTTGAACAGGGGCCGCAAGGAATCGGTAGGTAATGATGACGTTTCTATTGTTGGCGCCCGCAAGTACGAAATGGTTAGGATGACGTAAAGACAGGAAATCCCGAAGGGACCGCTTAGGTAGATTTTGTGACATTTATTGTGCAGTCATACTTCGATACTCTTTTGCGTTGCGTGTTATCAGTGACATTCTGTGGAGCAGTTGTTTTGATAGTTATGGGCCAAAAGACACTCGTTAAGCCCAGGTGAAGTTATAAGGTGCGTTAATAACTGTGTATATATAAACACTTGGAGAGTTAACCTGTTCCAGGCGTTCAGATAGTGCAATTTAACTCGCTCTCCAATGACCGCCGCGCTCTAGTATCTAAACACCTGGAACAGGCTATTGGAGAGTTTGCCAGACACGAGTTCACAAATCTTTGATTGGAAACCTTGCCAGACACTCTTTCTCTCTCTTTGACGGGAAGAAGACTCAGCCCCAAACAAGCAAGAAGAGTGAACAACGCCTAGCTTATCACTAGCAGAACGATGGATGATTACAGAAATTCGCCGATAATCAAATTCTGACTAATATTCCGTGCTCACGACTAGAATGCGAAAGGGTGAATTGATCAAACGTCCTTTTAATTTCTAAGGCTTACTTTCCGGCAAATAAAATGAACTGAATGTAAAAAGTGAAAGAGAAATAGCAAAAAATTCAACTTCTAATTAAATTAAATCTTTTCTTATGGTTTAGAATAAACTATTCTCGAAACTGAGAATGTTTTGATCAAAGCTGTGTAAATCGAACTGAAACTGTGCATGGAACCTTGCGTTTCCTGTATTTATCTCACCTATTGTATGGAATATGTGTGAAAATCATTATGAATCGGTATTGTTGGTATCACATGACGTCACTAAAATTCAAACTAAAAAGCTATCAATCCTACCGAGATTTTACTTTTACGATGCATTAGAGCAGCTGAATACTAGTTTTCATACAAATTTTCGCTTCAAAAGGGTTCTAGGTTTTGTGATAAGAGTACGCTTGAATTTCTAAGCTTTTGCGTGACGCAGTATTTACTGGACGGTCAAGAGAGCTGTCATGTAGGTTAAAAAAATGACTTATTTCAGGAAAGTTTGCTATCTAAACAGTTCATGTATTAGAAAAAGTATCACTTTAAGGTTTATGAGTTTCTCGAAGAATAAATTCACGCTTTTGTAGCAAAACTCGGTAACAAATGTTTCTGTTGGTTTCCGTCCCCCATGTTGGAGCTCATACAGGTGAGCACCAGCATGGCGTCTTTATACATTGGGTAAAACATTTCTCCGGATATCTCCTATACGAAATATTCCTCTGACCTGAACCTTAACGAGGGTCTTTGTATATGTACCTCCTTTCATTTCCCAGATTCTGGACATTATCTATTGAACGGTTTTTATTTTTATTTTGATCTATTTTGAATGGAGTGACAAAGGAAACCAGCAATATTTCAAAGAGCTACACAACGAGCAAGAATACTATTGACGGACAATATACAGAGCGGGCGCAGTTGTTAGTAGTAAGCGACCACCCATGGTGCATGACAAAGTGGTCGCTTACGGGAGGTTGTCACATAATTCTTACCTTACAAGCTGTAATTAGTCAAATTGACATCTGGCAATAAAGTTTCACATCGAATAGCGCTTGGAACTGTTGAAACTTTGTTCATAACATTTTGCATCAATGGAACAATCAACGTTTTTATCCACAGATCGTATTACAAAAAGAGCCATTTTTTTTTTTCATCGACCCTTATTATACCTGTCAGCCCTCTTAGTCAACTGAACAACTGAACTGTAGTTTTGCGTTATTCGAGGAACTGTTTTCATACAATCATACGTGATCGATCATGTTAGGTGGTCGCTTACCAGTATTTGAATGAGAAACAAAAAGTTAGTTACAAAGTGATCGCTTTCAGGAGGTGATCACTTAACGCTGTGAGACCTGTGAGAGAGTTGACCCTTACATGAAACACCAAGCTTATCTGAAGAGGGTTAGTCTCGACTTAAATGAATGCAGTAATGCATGTTAGCTGTAACGCGCCTTAAATTTGAAAATAAACAATAGTTTAGAGCTGAAAAGAGGTCTTTCGAGAACATCCAGTGGAGGCTGACGCTGTTAACACGCGTCTTCAATTTTTTTATATATTCGTTTCAACGGTCACTATAGCATTCGAAATTGGACTATTTTGGCTTCATTAATTATATTTTCAATACAACCCCTACTTTGCCCCTTCGTATTTTTATTCCTGATCAATCCCTTTACTAGGGCTAACGCTTAAAAGGCTTTATGAGTCATCTTATGCTCTAGAATTTTCACGTTCCATCAAAAGAGAAACCAAACACAGAAATGATCAATTACCTCATCAAGTGTGCCATAAGGGAAACTATCGCTCTGAAAGTAGGACTCGGAGTACTTTGCATAGCGACATTTTACCACATCTTCGTCGGCGTCTTCTATTGGGATCCGTAGAGACTGACTGGGACAGCCTTCAGACCAGCGTATAATAGCGGGGCTTCTTGATACAGGAGACGAGTTAATTCTCCCATTATCTAACCGTCTGGTAAGGTTTACGGTCGTTGATACGAGCCAACTGCCACCATACCGGGATAAAGATATCCAACAGCAACTTCTGTAGCTGTTAACAAAAAATAAATAATTAATCGCATCGTGATATTTTGTTATAAGTCTTTTAACATTAATGCCTTTGTTTAATAATATTTTGTCGTAATTTTTATCTTATATAAGATTTTAAGTGCGAACTTGCCTTACAATCCATTCGTCGTGGATCGATGAGAAGGTGTGCGTAAAGTTGTTTTCACCCAGTGACCAATCCTCGCTGGTACTATAGTCAGTGCAGCGAAAACCAGTGCTTCCTATGTTAACTGAATTGCATTGTGAACTGTTGCCAGTATAGTTAACACACTTCGCTGTCCATGAATCTCCGGGAACAAGAAGACTACCTGTGCTGATGGTATTTGAATCACAGTACACGGAAGATCTTCGAAAAGCCAGGCCAAATGTGAAACGAATCTAAAGACAAAACAGTGAAGTGTAATTTAAATTATCCGGACACAAAGGGAACACGCCATAGTGTCCGTATTAAGTGGGCTTTCAGAAAAAAAAAAAAAAAGACAGAAGGAAAGAAAAAACGTCACCGAAACAGATCGATCTAGAGACTAAGTGACATTTCACGAGAAAACTTTCTTGAATTTCTTAGAAGTAACTGTAAACTGTAAATTCCTAAAGAAACCTCATGATCATTTATCATAGTCTAAGAATAAAAATACCATTAGTTTTTATTTTTCTTGAAATACAACAAAGGCATCCGTGACTTAACTTTGTACTGGCGCTTTCAGTTTGCGACTCAGCCTGATGTGGACTTAGAACATTAGACAGAATCTTTGAAAGCAGGGGCGTAACTAGGGGTAGTATAGCACTGATTTCAGTTTATAGCACCTGCCGCGTACCTAGACGTAGGCTCTCTCTCTCGATGAAATTTTGCGCCCAAAGGAAGGCGGGAAGGTCCCTTAGGCTTCGTCACCAGTCACTAGCGTTTTGCGCTCGCCTCTATGCGAAACCATGCGAAAAACGAAGCGCCTGAGGAGACGGCTGTTATAGCACTGTGCACAATGGTTCGAACTAACAAAATGTTTCATTATTTTTTCGATGTTTCCAATTAGATTCTTATTAAATGTTTAAAATGAAATGCATAGTAGGGTCCAGCAAGGTTTACATTTTTTTCTGCCATGCATATGGTGTCTGACAAATCAAAATATTGAGAATACACAAAATGCTACTGTGGCTATGTTTTTATTTTTTGCTAGGCTTAGTGACCACACTCACAGCGAAGACAAGAAAGGGCACCTGCCTCCATGCTTTCTAGAACTAAATAAGATAGAATTAAACCCGAGAATTGCACGGCCCTCTGACTTTATCTAGTACATTTTTTTTGGTCGGATTTTTTCCTTTTTCCTTTTTAATTTATTTGATTAACTACTTATTTTTATTTATCTTAGACTTTCTACATTAGAGCTGCATCCGGGATCGGGCAGGACCGCATCGCTCAACCGTACACACCGCGGAAGGTCAAGGCATGCAGGCTTAGTCATCGTATCGTTACAATACCGCGAATACCATCATGCACGCTATTCAAATATTACGCTCTCGGTCGAGTTGTTAATTAAGTAGTGATTCAGACAATTACATCAACGAGAATTTCATGTAATCGATATTCAAATCTATCTAGGGCAAAGTGGAAATAACAAATCACTTAGTAGTCCTACCACAATTTTATGACTAGACATTCAGGCTATGAAACGAACACACCAGTTTCTAGGTCCAGTTATTCTCGGTGAAAAACTACCCTTTTGATTTTGATGCAAAATGAACTAAAGCCTACAAAAGATGATGATGACAAGAATATACTACATAGTAAATATTCACTACTGAATTCTCTTTCAAATCAAGGACCTAGTGACTAAAAATCGTCCGTAAAATGCTCTGCTCAGCGGCAAAAATAGCCTAGTTAAAAGCTTGGCAGCTTACTGAAGGCCACGTAGTTGCTTAGGTACGACTTAAGTTTTATTCATGTCGATAAAACTAGATATACTGCAAACCGCGCCACGCTACATAAGGGAGTCCAATACTTTACCGTGTTGCTGTAAGAGTCGACCGGAGCCCAAGACATGGTTCCATAACGAAAGTGCGACGCTAAAGCTACTGACAGCCACTGCAGAGCAACCAAAAAGAAAAGACATGCTGCAACCCAATGTGCCATGTCAAGTTTTAACGTACTTTGCCTTTTGAACGCTTTCCAGTGCTTCTGCCTAAGGACACTCCTTGCTCGTATTAGTAGAAAGTATTCGAGGGAGTGTCTACCCTTATTTGGATAATGTGATAATTTCTTGTCAATCAAACACACTAAAATAGACGCCTTGACTGCTCGTCTGTAAAGAACGTAGTCACTAGAGACTCTTTCTCTAAGCAATTCGAAATTGTTTCATGCATTTCTGCAAAACTGAGCAAATTAAAGATAATAGCCCAGCCAAAAACTGACAGTAAGTAAAACATAGTCACATTCTAATAACGCGGGAAATTTGGTGGTGCTTTTCTAGAGAGATTGTTATCTCCACTAGTCGCTGTCACATAATCGCAAGAAATGTAGCAATAAAGTTACAAATGCAGCAGTAAAAGCATGAAACATAAGCAAAACTTGTTTGGTGCAGAGACCAGCTCATTGCCTTTCATTCCAGCTACATATGAAGCAAAAAGAAGCAGAAATAAGAAAATTGCAGCATGGCGCCATGTTGTCGAACCTGAATGCTTTCGTTTCTAGCTCTCGCCCACATGCAGCGATCAATCTGTGAGCCGCCTAAGGGTATGGCTTTGTCATTCTGAATTAAATGTCACTCAAAATCGTAGAATATAGTTGACCGATGCATGTGTAAAAAGGATCATTGTAAAGACCAACGATCCATCTCAGTAACTAAGACAAGCCAAGGTTAAAGACACCATGATGTGTTTTTGATGTTACAGTCACTCATTATTTACTGTCAGTTACTCTCAGTCTTAGCTGAAGTTCTTGGGATCATTTAGAACGCTTCAATCAACCAATCATTTATTTTGACACGTTACGTCGAGAAGCTAGAAAACTCGTTCAAAATAAGAACTTTTATGAATAAATACGCTTGTACCTATCTTTACATGTTTTTGTTCCATTTCAATTGCGTCTTTGCCCACACCCCTTATTCGACCACTGTGACATTCTTTATAGTCAGTTGACCAAGCAAATACAGTGTAAATAAAACGCGGTATTTTAAATCCTGTTTTGAAGAAATAGACTTAGCCTTTTTCTATCATTCCGCATCACATTGTAACCAAGTGCATTTTGTTTTTTATCGCGCAGCTTCCAGAAGCAATGAATAAATCACATTTTTTATTGGTGTTGTTTTAAACCAAGGGTAATTGACCTGTAACATTGGTTTTGAGACTGCTGTGGTGTATTTTTAACTCGGACTTAAAGACGGCGTTTATGCGATACGTAGTTAATTGTGATCTTTTCCTTTGAGTTAAAAAAACAAAACAAAACAAAACAAAAACCTTTCTGTGTTAATTTGCTCAACAGTTGCTGATAGGCTTACAGAAATCTTTTTATAGGAAGACATTATATGCATCATCAGACTGCGGGCAAATGTGCAAAGACCATTGTCTCGTTTGACTAAATTGTTTTGTGCCCTGTAGACTGTGAAGGGTAAATAACAGCATCATAGTTGAACAATTCCCTTTATCCCTCCACTCTATCAATCACTTAACCATAACATCAAAAAGGCAAAGTTTTGTTTACTACATGAACCTTTACTGTTTGACTGAAAAGAGTGGGTAAAGCTTTTTTTTTGGGGGGGGGGGCGCAGAACTCAAAACGCCATTCACTGAGCAACTTTGATGCTCAAACGTTTCAGTTCGTAAGTATTTTAGTAATATTTTGGAATGAAGAAATTTCATACAAGTATCGTGACATTTGGAATTAATTGAATGAGCTTCTGAGGCTTCTAGAAGCAATTACCAGCTTAATAAACACAGCATGAATTTGCCTCTAGCTGTTCAGTTTAATAGAAACGAAACAGGAAGAAGATGAGGCTGATACTGGTTACTATTAGTTACCATGGAGACAAATATCATGCACCAAATATGCAACTATTTACTCAAAAAGAGTGTGTCTTCCCAAAATGGTCAGTCGTGGCCCCAGGCTGCTTTCCTTTAGCACTCACAAACATACGTCTATGGCCTCTCTTTGAAGAACAGTGAACTTAAAACCATCGAAATACCTTTTGGGATTGTCCCGTCAGGGCCGTAGCCAGTTAGAGGCAAACCGAGACACTTGCTTCAGTCCGGTAAGGTTTGATCCCAGTGTTTTGTTTAAACGTAGTCATCATAAGAGACCCTAATTAAATAGCCAGGCGGGGAATTCATCCATGGATATTGCCTCAGTCCTTATTTTTTTCTGGCTACGGCCCTGCCCGTGCGCTTTTTCCGACAACCTTTCTCGAAATAGCTGTAAACTATATGTATAGCTGGATTCATCGTGACGTTATTGTGTACATTTTTGTTCATTAGTATACGAGTTAACCCACAGAAGATGGAATCGTATATACTAATTATTTTCAAAATTAAAGGAGCTGGTTATTTTATGCAGTTTTTGCAAGTTTCAGCCCTTTTCAATCAGTAACAAAGAAAATAGCAGCAGTTAAAAACTGCAAAATTACTGGGTGGCAAAACGTTGAGCTTATACATTCTTTGTAAATTTTGGGGTTTTCAAAGAGAATTTCTCCGAAACTATTTGGTATATCGGGCTCAAATTTTCAGAGATAATTGAAATTGTTATAATTATGCTCTTTCAATATTCAGAGATTTCATTTTATTATACCTTCACCAGATAATGATAAACCAATGCTAATGAGGCAAAAAATGTAAACAAAGATTCGCCTATTGGTGAACGTCGAATGCACACCCTTCAAATCGCTAGTTAAAAATTTTCCGGTTTTAGCTGCAAAAACGACAATACACAACATTCACAGATAAAAAATGATTTCATTCAATATATTTGGTTTGTATCTGAGTATCCATGGCAGTACATGTATGTAACGATATAAACATGGACCTTTTCGATATTCCACTACATTTACTCTAAAAAATTAATTTAAACATACCGACGCCTGTCGGTCACACAATTTTGCCCCCCCTGTGAGTGAAGTAGTCCCAAACAGACCTTCTTGGAGTATCACGCTTAGTACCAATACTGTAGATCAGTGATAATACAAAATTTAGCATTTTATTGGTTTTTCAAGGTTCTCATCAGTCGCGGGAATCTTACTACTACTGCTGGCCACGCCGGAGGAGTAATGAAAATAACACCATTTATCGAATAGCATGAACACAGGCGTCTAATTAAAAACTATTACACTATTAAACATTTCCTAGAGACAGTTCACACGCAGTTAATAAAAGTCAGTAATGAAAACGATTAGATTTTTATAAAAGTAACATAGATGCCCAAGAGAGAATAATGGAACAGAGCGGGAAACGCCTAGTCAAGCCCGCGATTGGTGAATTGCACCAAAGCTATTTTTAGTCCTATTAAACGTTTTGAATAAATCGGAAGTTGTTTTCCGGAGAGGTCCGAAAACTTTTTTTCAGTGTTGTCGAGTGAACTGAACAGCCGCCGTTACAATATTCTGAATTGTTTGCATTGAGGCAGTTGCGCACGTCTCAGGAATTATTCCGTTTAAATAAACCACCCAAAATAACTTAAGTGAAATTTGCACATCCTGGTTAACGCCCTAAAATTCTTCCCTGTCCCATTTCCCATCTCTTGAGATGTCTTAACAGTGCCACAATAACGACACAAGACGGCGCCGAAAGAAAATGGAAACTGGACTCCACACTGTACTTTACGTAAAGAAACTCATTTAACGCGACTGATATTGGGTAGTCGTTCTCCGTATAGGGAGTGGCAAATGCTGCAGTCTTGTAAAAGTCCATCTTGAAAGTATCCAGCTAAGAAGGAAGCAAAGTATAAGTAAGATTAGCCTTCTTTTTGGTTTGGAAGTAGAAACTCCATCAAAAATCCTCTGGACATTTACAGTTTTCTGGGCATGGTCAATGTGGCCCTATTCTCATGTTGTTTAAAGGCGCGGTCGAATATTTTCATCTTTGTGAAGGGAAGGACGTGGGTTTTGTCTCGGGCAAGTTCAATGATCTGATGACTTCAGGGTAGACTTATGACGGGGCCGGAATAGAATTAAATTATCCTTTTACAGGGGATTGAGCTGACTAAAAGACTGATCATTCGACCCGAGGTGCATGCACTCTGAATCATCTCCCGAACTTTACTTGAAACGCAGAGGGCCCGTTGTTTAAACGGAGTTAGGCAGTGCTTAACAAAGCCGCGTTCTAAGCCAACTTCAGTTTGCCAAACGCCTTTGCGTAAACACCATTTATCGTGAACAGATTCATGAAAGCATTGATATTGTACATCACGTGACGTGTGAGTAGTAACTAAGTTTATTGACTTGTACGTGAAGGCTTAAAATTGTCCTTTAACTGAAATGGAGGGAAAAAAGTGTGTCTAAAATTTCAGTTTCAATATTTCTTGTTGGAAATGAAGCCGGGCAAATACTGGAAAGTTCACACCTACAGACCAATCGTTCAAAAAGTCTCATGAATTGGTCGAAGCTGGGTACAGCTAGTCAGTGGAGACTCCTTTGATAGAGGCTTGATTACTGCCATCTTCCAAGAGGATGGAACTTTATGTTGTCACAGCGAGCTGTTAAACACATCAGCAACAGCAGGGACAAGATCATGTGGAAAATCCCTAAAAAGCCAGTATGGGAGCTCATCCGGGCCACAAGGAGTCCTTGTTTAGAAAAGAAATGTGTAACAACATGAAGAGGTCCTTCAGGTATTCTGGCATCATAAGGGATATCAATTAGTGCAGGGGCTACATATTCAGGGTCTTAGTTTATGCCACAAAAGTAAGGCATTAATTGTGTCTGGATGAATGACTGAGCTAATCAACTGGGGCTGAGTGTCTCTTCCAGTGATGGTATTGACAGTGGACCACCAAGCACTCGAGCCCCTCACAGACATACAAAATTCCTGCATGACAGCTTGTCGTTGATTTTCCCTAATAAGATGGTTATCTCTGTCCTCAAGTCCAACAGGGAGCGGTTTGGATCTCTTTTGCAGCCTTCAAAATATGTTTAACCAATGCCGAACTGA